GCAAATACCCTTTAACCACAATGCTTCCTTAACCGCTTCTGTGAGAGCCATGTATTCAGCCTCTGTGGTTGATAAAGCCACCACATGCTGAAGTGTGGATCTCCAGCTGATCGTGTTTCCACCCACCTTAAACACATATCCAGAAACTGACCTTCTTTTATCTAAGTCTGCTGCGAAATCTGCATCACAAAACCCCTGAATATCAATCTTTCCTTGTTTCGTAAATGTCAAACAGCTTCCAGCTGACCCCTTTAAATACTTTAGAATCCATTTCACTGCTTCCCAATGGATTCTTCCTGGTCTTCCCATGAACCGGCTAACTAAGCCTACGGCAAATGCTAAGTCTGGTCGGGAACCAATCATCCCATACATTAAGCTTCCGACTGCACTTGCATACGGTACAGTGTCCATGTAGTAGCCTTCACTGTCTGCTTCATCATCACTCAAACTTTTCAGTTTGTATTGACTGCTTACTGGAGTGATCACTGGTCTGGATTCTTCCATTCTGAATGTCTTCAAAACTTTCTTTAAATAACACTCTTGAGATAACCTTAGAGTGCCCTCCTTTCTGTTTCTGACAATATCCATTCCTAAGATCCTGGTAGCAGCACCCAAATCTTTCATCTCAAATTCTCTCTCGAGATTATTCTTCAGCTTCTTAATTGCTTTCATATCTTTTGAAGCAACTAACATATCATCGACGTATAACAGTAGATACACTATGTCGTTGATATTCTGACCTTTGAAGTATACGCATGGATCGTAGACACTTCTCTGAAACTTCTGTTCCCTCATAAAATTATCGAATCTCTGGTTCCACTGCCTGGGTGACTGTTTTAACCCATATAGAGATTTCTTTAACTTCCACACGTAGTCTTCCTTCCCCTTCTCAATGAAACCTTCTGGCTGATCCATAAAAATCTCTTCCTCCAGAGTTCCATTTAAAAATGCTGTCTTGACGTCGAGTTGTTCTAACTCCAGATCAAAGTTCACTGTGATTGACAGCATTAACCTTATGGAGACGTGCTTCACGACAGGAGCAAAAATATCATGATAGTCGATCCCTTCAACCTGTGTATAACCCTTAGCCACCAGTCTACCTTTGTGCCTTGGTTTTTCAACTCCTGGTATACCGGGCTTTCTTTTGAAAATCCATCTGCAACCAATAGTTTTTATTCCTTCAGGTTTCTTTACCAAATCAAACGTTTCATTCTTCTTAAGTGAATCCATCTCCTCTTCTGTTGCTGATTTCCAGTTTTCCCAATCCTTGCTCTTAGTCGCTTCGAAATAAGAACTTGGCTCATCTTGATCTATGTCCTCAGCACTTGCAAGAGCATAAGCAACAAAATCTGAGTTTTCATACCGAGAAGGAGGTCGTATTTCTCTTCTCTGTCTGTCTCTTGCTAGAAGATAATTATCCAAGTTTTGAGTTACTTCTGTTTCTTGATCTACTCTTCCTTCCTGAGATTCAGTTCCAGATTCAGAACTTTCTGTCTCTGAGTCATCTTGATCAGATGCTTCTCCACCATGATCAGAATCCAATCCTTCTTCAGTGTTGATGTTGCTTGGTCCTTTAATCAAATCAGTGCTGAAAGAGACTCGTTTCTTCTTCTTTTTCTCTTTCTTTTCTTTAGATACTGAGAATTCTTTGAATACCTTTTCTTCATCAAACACCACGTTTCTGCTAATGGTGCATTTTCCTTCTTCTGGAATCCACACACGATAACCCTTTGTTTCTGGAGGGTATCCCATGAAGATTCCCTTGATTGCCCTAGGACTCACTTTGTCTTGAGTTACATGCACGTAAGCAATGCTCCCAAACCTCCTGATATGGTCGTAGTTTATCTTAGAACCGGTCCAGACTTCCTCAGGAATTTTAAACTCTATAGAAGAGTTTGGTGACCTGTTTATGAGATAAACAGCAGTAGACGCAGCATGATCCCAAAATTTCTTCTCCAATCCGGTTTCAGATAACATACACCTCACTTTATCCATGATGGTTCGATTCATTCTCTCTGACACTCCGTTCTGCTGCGGCGTATAGACACATGTCTTGTGTCTCTTAATTCCTGATTTCTTGCATAAATCATCGAACCGGTTATTGCAGAATTCTAAACCATTGTCAGTTCTTAGACACTTAATTTTCTTCCCTGTCTGATTCTCCACCAACAACTTCCATTCTGCAAACTTCTCAAATACCTCATCCTTGCTTGACAAAAATCTGATCCATACCTTCTTAGAATAATCATCCACAAACGTCACAAAATAGCGACAGCCTACTTCCGTTGGTTCATTTGATACTGAACCCCATAAGTCACTGTGAATATACTCTAGAACCTCAGTACTCTTGTGTTTAGCCTTAGGAAAACTTTTCTTGTGGGATTTCCCTAAAACACAAGTCTCGCAAAAGTCTAGTGAATTAACCTCCTTCTCACTCAGGTAACCTTTCTTAACTAAGATATTCATGCATTTTAAACTCATATGACCAAGTCTAGAATGCCATCTATTAGTTAAATTTACTGANTATACTCTAGAACCTCAGTACTCTTGTGTTTAGCCTTAGGAAAACTTTTCTTGTGGGATTTCCCTAAAACACAAGTCTCGCAAAAGTCTAGTGAATTAACCTCCTTCTCACTCAGGTAACCTTTCTTAACTAAGATATTCATGCATTTTAAACTCATATGACCAAGTCTAGAATGCCATCTATTAGTTAAATTTACTGAAGTCCTTACCACTGCAGCATCTCCTTTAATAACACTTCCTTCGAGATAATATAGACCCTCCTTGTACCTTCCTGAGATAACCTTCTTGTCACCCTTGTAGAATTGTATTGCGAAATCTTTTCCTTCATAAGAACATCCATTCTTCTCAAGTTGCCCATACGATATTAAATTCTTAGCCATTGAAGGTATGTATCTTACGTCAGTAAGAATCACAACTGATTTATCTGGATTTAGGATCTTCAACTTCCCAATCCCCTTAACATCACTCTGAGTGTTGTTTCCCATTAGCACTTTACCTCCTTCAAACTCCTCCAAATCAAATAATGATTCCTTGTCTGGGGTAATGTGAAACGTACACCCCGAATCTAGCACCCACTTGTTCTCAGTAGACACAGTACTAGCTGTAAGAATCATAGGTTGCTTTTGTGACTTGGTAGCCATGTTGGCTGCTCCAGGAGCCTTGTGATGTTTCCTCTCCGGGCAATCTCTCTTCCAATGATCTTCCTTACCACACACAAAACAGCCCTTGCTGTTCTTGGTATATCTTGGTTTGGACTGAGACCTTCCTCTGCCTTTAGACTTCCCTTTCCAACTAGAATCCCCTGGTTTATCTGATCTTCCCCTTGACCCTACATAGAGCCCTTCTGCATCAGACTTGGATCGAGATAGCACTCCTCGTTCCTTAAGCTCAATCTCCTTAGCATAGGCAGAGGTTACTACATCATTGATTGTTAATGTGTCTTTACCACTGCCATATTTCAGGGTATGAACCAGCTGCTCATACTTAGACGGGAGACTAGATAGAATCTGGATAGCCTGGTCTTCTTCAAGTATGTTGATGTTCAGGCTCTCCAGATCATCCACCAATTTGAGAAAATCATTTAAGTTCTCTTCAATACTCTTACTTTCTTCCATTCTAAAACTTGCGAATCTCTGTTTTAGATAAATCCTGTTTGGTAAGGTCTTGGTCTGATAATCTCCTTCCAAAGCCTTCCATACAGCTAGGGCAGTAGGTTGCTTCCTGATCTTCCTCAGTATAGTGTCATTAACACTCATACATATCAGGTTCTTGCATCTCCTGTCCATATCTTCGGTGAATAAAGCCTGTTTAACCTCAACCTCTTTATCATCCGCATCCTTGTCACTTTCATTAGGTGTAGACTCTTGTAGGCACTTGTCTAGACCTAAAATCTCAAGCTGACACTGCATCTTGTATTTCCATAACCCAAAATCGCCTTTGCCATCAAACTTCTCAACTTCGAATTTTCTTTTGATTGGTTCCATGACTTTAGATTCTGATGCTATCTTTTCTCTTCCTTCTCAGGTACCCTTCAGATGACGCTTTCAGAGATCAGAGTTAGCTGATGAGTTCTTAAGATAAGTTCACCTAGCCTTCTCTTGTTACTGACTTAGCTCTTCCTTTAAATCCCACGAGAATAATCCGCACAGACGTGTTCTTGACCTAGAACCAGTGCTCTGATACCAATTGTAAGGTTCAAAACCTAGATTGTCTACTCGTTATATCACGTTCTTACACTGCTACTTGTTGTTAAAGCAGAGATCAGACAAAAGCAATAAGAACACACACGACTTTAACGAGTTCCTGGCCTCTAACCAGTACGTCTCGTGGGAGACTGTCCTCCCAAACTTCACTATGAATGAAAGAGTACAGAGATGATCACAATCNTCTAGCTTGTGTATATGCAAGCTTTGTATCTGAGAAAACGTAAAACCTTACAGCACAAGAAAACCTATCAGGTGTTTATATATAGCTAGCAACAACAAACCCTAATATTAAGCTTCTGGGCTTTCGCAGGTGATCTGGAGAGGCCCATCTGGAGCAATGTGCCTTCAGACTAATTTGGGCTTTGGCCTACAACCAACAAGAGAGTTGACTTTTGGAATCAGTTCATGCATGTAAACTTGAGAGCAAAGCATGGGACGATTAACACTTAATGCTCAGCGAGCGACACTGACGGATCTTGTCCACATTAGCCGACCAATAATGTTTCTTAATCAATTTAAATTACAGCTTAACCGATCTATTAAACCGGTTTAGAGGGTTCAAGAGTTCCGATGAATTCGTAAAGGAATGTGGCTTTAAAAGTCAAATATTTTGTAACACAGATTATATATCGTGGAATTTAACAATACTTATTTTAGCTAGTCAAATATATTGTAACACAGATTATATCTGGAATTTAACAATACTTATTTAGTTAATAACATGAAGACCAACAATTAATAACAAAAAAAACATGTAAGAATGTAGGAAGCTCATTGTTGCCTTGCTCCAGAAGAAACCCAACGTCCGTTAACCAAGTCGAGATGCCTTCTGAGACGTTCAAGTGGGTACTCGCACACATCACCGGTCGTGGGAAAGTAAACGGAGAACGTATCGCCTTTTTGTCCAATGATCTCTCCGAACCACCACGCATCTAAGTCGAAAGCATCAACTCTCTCATGGCGTCTAAACGTCGACGGCTGAGATAATTTGGGTGGCATCGGACGGATTTCGTCGGCGGAGATGATCTCAATCAACGGCAGAGGATCTTCACCTTCCGTCACAAGGTTCTTATACTTAACCTTGTAGAAGGACTTGTGGGGAATCTTCGACAGTACCTTGGCCTCGAAGTAAGACCCGAAGAAACCATCTAGTTTGCTGCATACTTCGACTCTATCTCCTTTCACGAACTCTTCTTTCATTGTTAACGAATGTTTATCACTGATTTGTTGTTTTGTTATTTGTGAAATACGAGAAGAGGGATTATGTGTATTTATAAAGAGGTTTGTTTCCTTTTTTTCTAATTTCCTTTTTAGTGTTCTTTCCATTTTCCCCTCTGTTTATTTCTTTCGTTTTCGTTATTAAATGGGAAATCATAATTAGGAAGCGCATTACTTAATTAATATTCTAATGTACAAGAAAGTGACTAGATTCACTGGTTATTCTTTTTTTAACTAATGCATAATCGATACTTTTTGGTAAGTAGTATTACTAGAAGCATGTCTAATGAAATTCTCAATATAAATCCAAATGTAAATATTCATATATATAATCTTTTAATTATTTATCTCTCACGAACATGAGAAAATTTCACTAAATTATTTTATTTGAACATTAAGGTATCCAATATTATAAATTCTCACATATTTTATTTTATGTCATTATACTTTGAAACATTATTAATCCCTAATATTTACCCAACCCAAGGAAAATAAGTAAACGTTTGTCAAAAAAACGCTAAAACGCCGTTAAAAGTTACATACACAGTAAAGGAAACGGGAACGCTGAACACTTCATAAAACGCGTATAATATCTAAACCCTTCAAAACCCTAATTTCGCAATTTAACCACTCTTCTTCGCGCCGCCACCTCTCCCTACTCTCACCGGCACAATGACTACCACCACCGCTCATCCTCCGCCGTTATACCACTCAAAGATCGACGCGAAGAACGTCAACAGAGCCTTAAAATCTCTCCAAAAATGGTGGGAATCAAAATCAAACCCCCAAAACTCAGAACCCCTCGAAAACAACAACAACAACGACAGTTACGTCTACCTAGTCGTAACCCTAAAGAAACCTCCCCAAATCGATCGAACCAATCCACTAACAATCCCTCTCCCTCACCCTCTCCTCAACCTCACAGAATCTCCCCCAGACCTCTGCTTAATCATCGACGACAAACACAAGAACAAAAAAATCACAAAGGAGACGGCCTTGAAAAAAATCGAATCCGAGAACATTCCAATCACCACAGTGATCAAACTCTCGAAGCTAAAGACGGAGTTGAAGAAGGTGGAGGTGGAGGAAGGGAGGCGGCACGAGGTGTACTTCGCGGAGAGGAGGTTGTTACCGGTTTTGCCGAAGCTGTTAGGGAAGGAGTTTGTTAGGAAGAAGAAGAGTTTGGTTGAGATTAACTTGAGGAGTGGGAACTGGAAGGAGCAGGTGGAGAGGGTTTGTGAATCGGCTTTGGTTTTCGTTGGGACGGGGACTTGTAGCGTTGTGAAGGTTGCGAAGTTGTCTATGGGAAGGAAGGAGGTTGCGGAGAATGTTGTGGCGGTTATGGAAGGGATCGCTGGTTCGATTCCTGGCAAGTGGAGGAATGTTAAGTTGTTTCATTTGAAGTTGCTTGAGAGCTTGGCTTTGCCTGTTTATGAATCTGTTTGAGTTATGGAGAGAGTTTTTGAATGTTGTTTTTGGTTATTTTTTAGTGGAAGGTTCTCTTATATGCTGATGCAGTGTTTAGATTATGCCTAGACTTTATTTTACCATATGATTTGAGTGAAGAAAAAAACACTTCCTTTCAAGTAAACGTAACAATCAGATAAAACAGAATTAGAATTCATATATTGTTTCATCCTAAGTTGCTTGGGAGCTTGGATTTACCTGTTTATCAATCAGTTTGAGATTTTGGAGAGCTTTTGAATGTTTTGGAACTTAACTGTGATAAGGTTTGTCACAAGTTTTTGGTTATTTTTTTAGTGGAAGGTTCTCTTATATGATGGTGTTTAGAGTATGCATAGACTTAACAAAACAGAACTATTGCAATACAGCGTATGATTTAAAAGCAGAATAACACTTCCTTTCAAGTAAACGTAACAAACACATAAAACAAAATAAGAATTCATATATTGTTTCATGCTAAGTTGCTTGGGAGCTTGGCTTTGCCTGTTTATCAATCAGTTTGGAGATGGTGAGGTCTTGAATGTTTTGGAATTTAACAGTAAGGTGATGATCTAGTTTGTCACAAGTTTTTTGTTTAAGTAAAAGGACTACTTGAGTAAAGATTTGCATTCGTCTAGTTTATAAGTGGTGAGAGTGTTAAAAGACAATACTGATCATGTACATTCAATTTTAAAAGCCATTACTGGACAAAGTTACCAAAGCATAAAAATAAACATGTTTCTTTTTTTTTTTATTGCAAGAGCCAAGAGATTAAGACCATTTGTTGTCTCATTACCAGACCAAACCAAATCTACACACCCAACTCTCTAGTTAGAGCAGCAACCCATTCTCTTAAAAACCGATCCGTCTCCTTTGACGTTAATCGTCTCTCCTTTCTTTGGTAAACCAGTTGAAGATCCTCCTTCTCCTTCTTTGTTGGTTCCATCCACGCTTCTTTTGCTCACTATCTTGTGAATCTGAGTGAGCACTTCAGTGAAGGCGTTTTCAACGTTGGTTGCATCTAATGCTGACGTCTCCATGAAATAGAGAGACTCTCTCTCAGCAAAGGCTTTAGCTTCCTCTGTTTTTATTGCCACCAAGTGACGCAAATCACACTTGTTTCCTATAAGCATCACCACTATGTTTGGATCCGTGTGTCCTCGTAGCTCCTTTAGCCATCTCGCTGCGTTCTCAAATGTTGAGTGTCTTGTCACGTCGTAGACAAGTAAAGCACCTACAGCTCCTCTGTAGTACGCACTTGTGATTGCTCGGTATCTATCAAACAAACATAAACAAAACCAGCTTTTTCAAAGATGTTAACAGAGAGACACAACACAAAAGAGGTAATAACTTCAGTAGTTAGATACTATTTAAGGTAACCATACAACAACTGTTTTTAGCAGTAACTCAAGGTAACCACGCAGAGTTAATGAAAGATTCCGACAACTATCTTCGTATGAGACGGGGCAGGACGAAAAAACTAGCACACTAAACATAGGATTAGCCACTTTTACTACAGGAATGGACCAAGACAGGTAACAATCCCATGAGAAACACAAATCAATGTCATAAGAATCTAATAAAGCGCAAAAACCAAACTATTAGTAGCCAAAACTTAATTGAAACGCTAAGTATATCGATATTTTCTGAGTAATCTGCAGACTTTGAGCCATAGGCATAGCTTAAGATGCGTATTAAAGAGAAGAAGCCACCAGAAAAATAATTTCGTGAGCTATCTACTCTTCACGAATTCAGACACAAAAATGAAAAGACACAGAAACTACAAATACTTCTAACTGGTAATAAGGATACCTAATCAGAAACTGAATATGATAAACCAGGAATTAAACTTTACAGCACAGATAATAACTCAGATACACATATCAAAAACCATGATTCATAAAGAAACGCCAAGCTAAAGGAGATGACTTTCGAAATCAACTACTAAAGAGAAGAAAGCAAGAGAAAAAAACATGGTCTAATTCGAACCTTTCTTGACCAGCAGTATCCCAAATCTGAGCTTTGACAACTTTGCTATCGACTTTAAGCGTCTTTGTAGCGAACTCAACGCCAATCGTAGACTTGGACTCGAGGTTAAACTCGTTCTTGGTGAATCTCGAGAGAAGATTCGATTTGCCAACACCAGAGTCTCCGATCAAGACGAGCTTGAAGAGGTAATCGTACTCTTCATCAACTTTGTAACTACCAGCCATGAGAAGAGAGAGAGAGAGGATCGAATGATTTTTTTTTTTTAGTTTTACTGTTTTGTTTCTGATGATAATGATTCAGATAATCACGATGAAAAGCTTTTGTCGGGGATCAGAGTCGCTCGCTTATGCTTCTTTTTTTGAATTTTAATAATTTTGATGATTAAGAAATGACTACTACTACTTTCTAATTTTTTTTACTTATGGTTGACTTTTTAATCTCCCACTATTTATTGTTTAATTTCCTGACATAATTATCATTTATTTTTGAACCTAAAACGTCTTTTTTCATCAGTTGTATTAAAAATTTAGAAAATATTCTAGCTAGATACAAAAATTTTGGAGACAAATTTATCAGTATTAGGTAAAATTGAAAATTTTCAATATTGTGAAGAGTTATCCATCTTAAATTAAATATATACAATATTTGTTGTTGTCTGTATAGAAAAAGCTACATCATCATGTTTATAAATTGGATAAGTTGATCACCATTTGTAGTAGATTTTTTTTTTTGTCAATGGGATAAGTTGATTATAAATTGTAGTATTTGATTATAAATGGGATAAAGTTGATTACATAGGCATGTTCGCACGTGCGTCCCTCTCTTATGGGCTCTTTGTAATAGCCCATTGGGCTTTACGTAATTTTGTCGTTTTACTGTCCGCATAATTTACAACTCTTTCAGTTGTTTGGTTGTCTTTAATGAGTGATGGAGGAAAAGAAAGATCCAAAGGAGACGAAAAGTAATGGGAAGACGAAGAGTGTGGCTTCGATTCCGGCTAACTACGTATCAATTCTTCAGCTTCAGGAGCGTTGGAAGAAGGAGAAAGAGCTGAAACAAAAGGGAAGAGAGATTGTAGAGAGAGGCGTGAAGGCAAAGGTTAATGGACAAGGAAGGAAAGACGAAACCATAGAGAAAGGAGTTGAGGTATTTGCAATTGTGAGCACGAAGGACGAAGATGGAGGAGATTTGAAGGAGAGAAAGAAGAAATGGTCCAAGAAGAAGGTGAGCAAGAAGAATCAAGGTGGATCTGTGGAGACTAATCTGGTGAAAGAGGAAACTCAGGGAGAGATAATAGTTCAAAACAGAGAGAATGCTGCTGATAGTAACTTGATCAGTGTAGAAACTCAGTTTCAGCAACGAGTAGAAGAGGATGGAAGAGATAGGAAGGTCAAGGGACCTGTGAGATTGAACAGTGGAAAAGGGTATTACCGTAATCAGAAACATGATTGGTCGGCTACACGTGTTATTAAGGCATCAAGGGCTATGGTGTGGGTGAAGAAGGGGGAGAATGATGCAGCTGTTGGTAAGCATTAGGTCCATGTGTAGGGTTTGTATCATGTTCCTTTGAGAATGCATTGTAGCGGTGTATGTAATCGTATATAATCTTAAGAGCATGGTTCCCTTTAAGTGTTGTGCACACATCTGCAAGTACTAGTCTATATATGACTACTGCTGAATCTGAGACAACTATTGAAGACACCTCTTGTTAAGCCATTATGGTTGAGTTTGAACTAAGATTTATATGTTATACGGTATAGAGAAGTATCTCAAGATATACATGTATTCAGACTGAAGCTGGTTCTGGTGTTGATGTTTAAATTGAAGCTGTCTCGTACGCCTTGTCTAATAGTGTCTTCACCGCTGAATCAATGTCATATGCAAGCTTCTCAGACATTGAGTTTCTTGCCATCACCCTCATAATCACATCCACTTTGAGCTGATGAGTTCATCAACGACCATGGTTCTCTTTCAGACAATCCCAAATGTTGTCACCATCTAAAGAACCTTGGGCTTTCAGAGCATTATGTGCTGCAAAATCAAATAATCTTTGCTCTCATCAGCTTCTGGAGAAGCTCCTGATTCAATCCAGCTAGCTGTACGCGTAGACGCTGAATCATGTTACCTAACTCAGGAGAAGCAGCCTACCACAATAGCTATAGTCCCATTCTCATACAAGTCTACTTTATCAACCCTTCCTTTCTCCAAATACTCTAGGAAGTTAGGAACCTAGAACAAGGCATTTTAGACGCAATAAATCTTTTAAAATATTTTTTTATAGAAAATTTTATTTAATATTTAATTTTTAAATATCTTTAGTGCTATACTTTTTGTTTCAAATATAATTTCTCCTAAACATTAGAACAACTAGTTAACACTACAACTACCTTAATAAAAATAGTTTTGAAACTTAAAATCGGCTTTAGTCTTTTACTTAAATCTCAATATTTGCCTTTTTCTCATGAAAAAGTCTTTTTCAAAAAATAAATAAAGTAAAAAGCTAGATTTCTAAAATCTAGTTTAATGAAGAAGGATAATTTCTAAAATCTAACTTATTATCATTTAAAAAAAAAAGAAAGCCAAAGTTGGAGCTAATTTGAACAGCTCTCAGATACGAGATCACAACTCACTCAATGCTTTTTTTTTTCTTAATTAATTGGGGAGCAAGCTATGATAAACATCTTAATTAATTATATTAGAGATAATACCCGATAAATAAGGAAACTCGGGTATACCGATTTTATATATTAAAAAGAAAAAAGGAAAAGATACCTTATAAAATAAGAACCCTAATGGTTACAATCAAGCAGACTTATCGTATTCATGCCTCTTCCTAAACAAAGAGCCCTAATTTTTTTCCTTGCGCAGAACCAATGAACGAGAATCATCATCAGCACTCAAGGCCAGTACCAAGGAAGACGAACGTATGGCGGGTATGGGGGAAGAACGTTGATGAAGAGATGGCTCGAATGTTGGAATGTCATAAGCTATTTCCACTGATAGCTTTTGATACAGAGTATCCGGGGATTATTCACCGGACATACCCAGATTCATCAGACAATGATTGCTATGTCGCCATGAAAGCTAACGTTGAATCGTCTAAACTGATCCAGTGCGGCTTGACACTCTTCAACGCAAAGGGTGAGATTGGTGGCGTTTGGGAGATCAACTTTTCGAACTTTGGTGACCCGTCTGACACACGTAACGAGAACTCGATCAATTTTCTGAAGAGACACGGCGTGGACTTGAACAAGATCAGAAACGAAGGAGTAGATATGTTCAAATACGGTTTTTTCCCGAAGCTTTTGTCTGCACTCTACTCTCATAAGTACGTCGAGTTTGTCACTTTCCAAGGAGCTTATGATTTCGCGTACGTCCTGTGCATACTCAACCATGGAAAGCTTCCCGAGACTCGCGAAGAATTTGCATCTGAAGTTGTGAAAGTCTTCGGTGAAGTTTACGACCTAAAGGTCATGGCTGGATTCTGCGATGGGCTAGGTGAACACCTTGGTTTATCTAAGCTAGCTCAGCTACTCAATATCCCACGTGTGGGAAGAGCGCACCATGCGGGTTCAGACAGTTTAATGACTGCACTTGTGTTCATCAAGCTCAGACAAGTGTTTGAAGACTCTAGGTTCGCTAAAGGGATGCTTTATGGAATTGGGAAGAGAATGATCGCTACAGCTACCACCACCAACACCACTATACCGTCTTCGGTCTCTGTGCCTATGATGTGCCAGCAGAATCTAGTTTCATATCCTTCTCTGGATATGCTCTTCCATAGTGGATACATCCCAAGCTATATCCCAAGCTATGATCATAATCAGGTTCTCTTCTGGAATCAATTTGCTGCTGTTCCATGGATGTCTTATGATAATGGTATGTATATCAATCAGCTTAGTCATGTACCTTCAAGCACATTCGCATACCCGTATCAGACACCATATGCTGCTGATTACCTGCTTCCGGATTTACTACAATAATAATTCTAGTTTGAGTTTTTCCCGTTAGGATTTAATTAGATGGATTTATGAAACAACTTTTCTTCTTGTTTTTTTTTCTCTTTTTTTTTTCCTCTAGCTTTGGTTTTATTTATGGATTGTTTACCTGAATTTCTCTATCAATAATCAATTGAGCATGCCCTGTGATAAATAAAACCGAATAACTCAACATATCTTTCATCAGTTAATTGCTTTTCTTTGTCCTTATATCATGTGTTTCAGAACAATGAAACCTCAAAGGTTTGGAATCACTATTCTCCAAATGCAAATAGTATATTGGATGTTAAGTCAAATTCTAGATAGCATATATATATAAGCTAGTGACTGGCCTAAAACCACTACTTGTTAGGTTAGGTGTGCACTATCTAAAACCCACTCACTAACCATAATGTTGGGTTGTAGAGAACTATAGTTTCTTCTTAAATTAATTCAGCAGAAACGTTACATTGCTGAGGAGTGGGCCAGGAAACTGTCCTTGCTTGTTAATTATGATTAGTGATATTTACATACTGCTCACAAGCAGTATTTCTTGCTTGTGGTATCCAAAGATTGAACGTTTGGTGCCTGCATCAACTTTTTGATAGATAGCTGTGCGTCTACTTGTTACAGCCAAAGCTGCAGAAGCACGGTAAGTATCTTTCTTCTGAAATTGCATTCATAGAAGTGTGTGAGTAATGGGAACATATTGAAAACATGTTAGAAGATGCCGTACTAGTTACTTTTATGTTGTCAACATCCGCTCTTATATCATTTGATACTTGCCCCTGGTAGCTGCCACAACATTGTTTTGTTCATTTTCTGTAACATTCGAGACCAAATAGTCGCTGCAAAAAAAAAAAAAAAAAAAGCTTCTACAAGTTCTCATGATTTATCAGTGAAGATGTGTTTGAGTGAAGTACCCGTTGCTAGCTCCTGTATTTGTTAGGTGTAGATTTATTAGATATAACAATTGTGTGTTAGTATATGAAAGCACTGAGGTCTAGAGAAAAAGTATCAGATTTGGATAACTTAGGGAAACTGTGGTGGGGTGGGAAAACAATGGTTGGTGTGAAGAAGGGAAGCCATTAGTTTTGGTAATGGTAGATGCAGCGTCATGTGGTATGGTCTTCTACAAAAAAAAAAGAGTAAGAATTATCTTTCATAGTAAGTATAGGATCATTAGCAATTCGAAGCATCAGACAAGATGAAGTTAAACTAAGGAGTTGATGGTACCCCCATGAGTTGAAGCCTGCCTCATTGAAAAAACCATGTGCAGAAGATGCATAACTAGAAAAAGACATCATGAGTGATGTATACTTATAAACCCTAATCGATGTCATCTCTCTGTGGGGAGGGGTGAATAAGAATTGAGTTGGGCTTAAAAACTGCGCGCGCCGGATTCGAAAATATATAAAAAAAAATTCATATCTTGAGAAGAAATCCATTAAAAAAAAATAAAAAACATTATAAAGTTTATTGTAAATATAACTCTAGAGAAAGAAAGTTACGGCAGCACCGATCAGATGCAAATTGCAACACGTCGACATTTGCCCCTCCTCAATAGGTTCTTCCCAATTTCATCTTCTATGCGATATTTGAGATCACACTCCCCCATCCAGCTTGAGAGGATTTCTCTTTTCTTCAGTGCCTTATTTTTGTTTTTCAGCTAAGATCCATTGAGATTTTGCCTGATTTGGAATTGGTCAGATTTTGATTCCCGGGTTGACCCTAATTGGAGCTTAAATTCGTTTCGTGTTGACCTTACCTTGATTGAAACCGTTGGCTCTTGTGACTGCTTGATTTGGTATTTTCACTTACTCCTGAGGTCTCATTTCTAGGTTTATTATAATGGAGATTCTCACATAGACATTGACTGGCTTAAGCTTCTGTTTGTGATTCCAATGCATTGTTCCTACCTTCTTTGAATTCAGTTAATCTGATTGTGATATGCTAGAGAGCGAGAGAGTTGGACACTGAACTGTTTTTAACATACGAGTGTATCATCGTATAACTGGTTCAAAGATTAATCTTTCTTCCTTGACTCCACGGCAGGGAAGCTGTCATCACAGGAATACTTGTTTACAAATTGTCAGTATCCCTGTTTGAGTAAATAAAGGCTGTGTCTACTATATCTATATCTCTGTCAGAGTGTTCTGTGAATGTGAGCTAAAAAGGTTGGTTCCTGAGTTTAGATTATTTTGATGGATCGAAGATACATATCAGAGAGATGCAGACAGAGAACATGCCTTAGAGCCGTTTGATATTAAAAATGAAACCAGCAAGGAGAAAAGTCGCGCCAGCAGTTTTGATGTTGGTTACACTTCCAGTGATAACCCACTTCCAGTGATAACCCACCTTGAAACGTTGTCTAGAGCCTCAAAAGAGGCTATATTTCCGCCTAACATTCTGAAAACACTCTTCTTTACTTCAAGATCATGAAAGAGAACAAAGTTGTAAGTTATTTTTATTTTTTTCTTTTAGTTAGGGTTAGTCCATAGAAAATTTGACATAAAATAAGCTTGTTCAAAATTTTACAACAAAGCCCATTAGCTCAGTTGGTTAGAGCGCGAATATGGCCATTTATCAATTTTAACACATTTTTCTACTTTTCATTTCTATATAAAGGTTGGCCCAATTGGTAGAAAGAATACCACAAAACTATACCAGCAATTAATTGTCTCCTTCTCATCGGACAGACCTTATAACGACACGCTGTTAATTTTCCAAAGTCTAAAACAGCACGTAGTCTAGATTCCCCGTCATGCCATCGTCTTTCGACTTCTCCGGGAAGCAATCCTCCAAACTTTCCCTAATCAATATATAAAAAAAGTCACAGCTAATAAAACGCGGGTGATATCAATTTTAATAACCTTCCTCTTTCTCTCGCATTCTTTTCTTCCTCGTAGAGCAATCAGATAACCCTAAACCTCACTCAACGAATCTCCATCTCTCTCTCTGTGCATTCGCATCTGCAGATATAAATCCACGATGATGAGTATTATAATAAAAATCGATTCGAGTAGTGTCAGAGAAGAACAAGAGGAATCGTTAACAGTATGGCGAGTACCAGTGGAGGAAGAGGAGGCGAGGATGGGAGGCCGCCGCAGATGCAGCCTGTCCGCACTCTATCCCGGAGGATGACGCGAGCTGGGACGATGATGATTGATACTAACGAAGACGAGAATATCATTGACAGCGAGCTTGTGCCTTCTTCCCTCGCTGCTATTGCTCCCATTCTCCGTGTTGCTAATGATATCGAAGCACATAATCCAAGAGTTGCTTACCTCTGTATGATTTTTTTTCTCAACTCTGTGCAAGTTTTATAAGATAGAGTTTGAGAAGTTTTCTCAGTTTAGGTTTCTCTCAATCTTGTTAGGTCGGTTTCATGCGTTTGAGAAGGCACATACGATGGATCCAACATCGAGTGGACGAGGAGTTCGTCAATTTAAAACCTATCTATTGCATAAATTACAAGAGGTATATATATATATATCATCATGCTGTTTGTTCTCTTTGATGAATTTGAGTATTTATACAGTTATATTAATGATTCTTGATTAGTTGTGATGTATGACTGTTTTTTATCTTGAGATGTCTAGTTCTTGAATATTTGTTTGTTGTTGTTGTTGTTATAGGAGGAACCGACGAGTGATCCGAATGAAATTCAGACGTTCTATCAGAATTTCTATGAGGATAATATAGAAAATGGAGAAGGGAAAAAGTCACCGTGAGTAATCTTTTTAAATAGATTTTGTTATCAATTATTACATGACAAAATGATGTCTTCGAACTTCTGTTTTTTTTTTTTTTTTGTGTGTGTGTCTATCTAATTTTGTCATTATAGGGAGGAGATGGCCAAGCTTTATCAGATGGCAACTGTCTTGTATGATGTTCTAAAGACTGTGATTCATCCAGCAAGAATAGACGAAAAGGTCTATTAGTGTTCCCCTGTTACAATAGATTATTCCTTAAGTGTCTTTGTGACACTTTTGACATTTTTTTTTTTGCTGGAATGTAGACCCACAGGTATGCTAAAGAAGTTGAAAGAAAGAAGGATCACTATGAGCCTTACAACATTCTTCCACTAGATGCTGGAGGAGCAAAAGCCGAAATAATGAAACTCCCTGAGGTTGTGTGTGTGTTGCAAAATTTTCTTAATTACGTAAAGCTGTCTATCAAATATTAGTCACTTGGAGCTCTTACCGATGTTATTTTTCCATTAAATTTTAGATTAGGGCGGCCATTCGTGCTGTCTGTAATGTGCAAAATCTTCCTCAGCCAAGAGTTCATTCAGCCACGAGTAACCCGAACGAAGTAAATAGGGAAAAAGCCAGAAATTTCAATGATATTCTCGAGTGGCTTGCTTTGGTTTTTGGTTTTCAGGTATAAGTTTCTTTCTCGCCATTTTTTAATTAGTCTGTTTAAGTTTCTTTAGTGAAAAGTGTTTTGATTAAGCTTCCTATTTTTTCATGGTGAAAGAGAGGAAATGTAGCTAATCAGAGGGAGCATCTCATACTGCTACTTGCCAACGTTGATGTGAGAAAGAGGAATCTCGAGGATTATGAAGAGGTGAGCGCTCTGTGGGCTATCACAAACCTTCTTTTTTTCTGGACGATAATATTGCACACAAATTACTAACTACAAATAAAAATTTAGGTGAAGCCTAGCACCGTGAATAAGTTGATGGAAAAATATTTCAAGAATTACAACTCATGGTGCAAGTATTTGCGGATTAAATCACATCTCAGGTATTGTCAGTGATCTTCTTTTATTAGATAATTCAAGCTCTTAACGCTCTTGGGACTTTGAAAAGCTTTCCTTCACATTCCTTCTAGCCTAAAGTTTCTATTGGTGTATGGTTGGCAGGTTTCATGATGGTTGTGATGAACAGCAGTTGAGCCTTGTGTATATTGGCCTTTATCTTCTCATATGGGGTGAAGCATCCAATGTCCGTTTCATGCCTGAATGCCTCTGCTACATATTCCACAATGTAGGTTCTTTTAATTAGACAATCCTCTCGTCTCTGTTTTTTTTTTGTGACTAGCAAATATCAACACACACATACCGTTAAAATGCGTCTCTAGTTATCTAACAGTTTTCTGTGATTTGCTTGGTTATGTACTGATATACAAAACTGAATAGTCTTGTGTAAAGTCTACCTGAGATTTTCTATTCATTTGATTTGTTCTCATGCTATTATATTATAAGATTATATGTAACCATGTTTAAAAAGATGAAACTTTCTTGTGAAGATGGCAAATGAAGTCGATGGAATTCTGTTTAGCAATGTGTACCCTGTAACTGGGGCCACATATGAGGCAGGTGCACCTGACGATGAGGCATTCTTAAGGAATGTTATAACACCAATTTACCAAGTCCTGCGCAAGGTATGTAAGATTTTGTTCTAACTTTCTTTTTTTCCCCTCATTGGTTCACTAAGAAGAACAGGTCGTTTTGTGGGAAATAGGAAGTGAAGAGAAACAAAATGGGAAAGGCAAGCCATTCAAAATGGAGAAACTATGATGATCTGAATGAGTACTTTTGGTGAGTAAACTCAAGCTTGACCTGGTTTTATATGTTTTAGTCATATGTTATTATCTAAGCAAATTCTTTTTTACCGTTTCATAGGGATAAGAGGTGTTTTAGGCTGGACTGGCCGATGAAATCTGAAGCAGATTTTTTCATCCACTCTGATGAGATCTCACAACGTCCGAATGAGGTTTAAATTTTTCTTAGTACTATTTTGCATCTTTCTTTAATCTTGACGTTTTCTTAGTACTAATTTTTATTAGTTGCAGAGGCATGACCAAGTCTCTCACGGAAAAAGGAAACCCAAAACTAATTTTGTTGAAGCTCGAACGTTTTGGAACCTCTATCGAACTTTTGACCGAATGTGGATGTTCCTTGTATTGTCTCTGCAGGTAGAATCTAGTTTAAAATTCTCACTCTACTTCTGCTCTGTTTGATAATGTATGTAGTAATTCTATGATTTTTTTAGATTATGATAATAGTTGCATGGAGCGATTCAGGATCTATTCTTAACATATTTTCTGAGGATGTATTTAAGAATTTGTTGACCATTTTCATCACTTCAGCTTTCCTTAATCTTCTACAAGGTAACTTCTAACTCCTTTTCAGTTTGACATTACCCCTATGTTGAATATTAATACCATTGACATAATCATTTGTTGTTTATGAATGTAGCAACATTGGACGTAATTCTTAGTTTTGGTGCTTGGAAAAGCCTAAAGTTTACCCAAATTCTGCGGTACATCACAAAATTTTTAATGGCAGCCATGTGGGCCATCATATTGCCAATTACTTACTCAAAGTCGGTCCAGGATCCAACTGGACTTATAAAGTTCTTCGATAATTGGATTGGGAATTGGCTTCACCAGTCGTCGTACAACTATGCTATTGCATTATATGTCTTACCAAATATTTTGGCCGCTGTGTTTTTCTTACTCCCACCTCTGCGTAGAATCATGGAGCGATCAAATATGCGAATTGTCACATTTATCATGTGGTGGGCTCAGCCAAAATTGTATGTTGGCAGAGGAATGCATGAAGAAATGTTTGCACTTTTCAAGTAAGCAAGATGATGTTATTCATTGTAGTTTTGGTGTCTAATTTTTCCTTATATTTCTCTTACCTGAGAAAAACCTCAGCAAACCATCGTTGTTCTAGATACAATAACACTGATTGCAAGTTAGTGTATGGTTCATGATTAATTCTTTTTAATTTATGTTGTTTCAGGTATACGTTCTTTTGGGTCATGCTGTTACTTAGCAAACTCGCATTCAGCTACTACGTGGAGGTAAATTAGCTTTTTATGCTGATACTTATAAATCATTTTTTTTTTATTTCTACTAAAGAGTGTATACTCTCATGTTTACCTCTAATAACATCCTCATTTACTATCCTACTAATTCGGAATATTGTAGTCCTACTTATCATTCTAACACTTGCTATATAGGCATTTTCTGTTACAGTTATATTTTAACATGTACGTTTGTTGATGATCCCTGGACAGATATTACCACTTGTCAAGCCAACAAGGCTAATATGGGATATGAATGGCATAAGTTATCAGTGGCATGAGTTCTTTCCAAATGGTAAAGAACATTCTACTCATAGGGTCCTTATTTACTGCTGTTAACTTCGTTTCATTCTAAACTATGTTGATATATTCATGCAGCCACACATAACGTTGGTGTAATTATCTCCATATGGGGTCCGATTGTCTTGGTAAGTATTTTTTATTAAATAAATTGGCAAGAATATCTCTTAACACCCTGAAATTTCATTGATGTTTAGGTTTATTTTATGGATACACAAATATGGTATGCCATATTCTCCACTATATTTGGGGGGATTTCTGGAGCTTTCAACCATCTTGGGGAGGTAATTTGTTCTTCTTACCTTTTGTTAGTATTATGAAAACCCTACATTCGGCAAAATTTTCTTAGTTTTTTTTTCTCCATTTTTTTTTGTGTGTAGATACGTACACTTGGAATGTTGCGGTCCAGGTTTAGATTTATTCCTTCTGCTTTCTGTAGTAAACTTACACCATTACCTCCAGGCCATGCAAAGAGAAAGCACTTGGTATTAATCATACGTCTAAATTTAATTGTTAAGAAATTATACGCCAACCATTATCATATTATGGGTGACATATGGAACATTTGAGTAATGCAGGATGAAGCAGTGGACGAAAGAGACATTGCGAGGTTCTCACAGATGTGGAATAAGTTCATATATACTATGCGGGATGAAGATCTGATCAGCGATGAGTTTGTGGAATTTTTCTATAATATAGACTCATCACACTAACCCTAAGTTCATTTAAGATATTTACTCATGTATTTTGCCTGTTTTTTTATTGTTGTGTAGGGAAAGAAATTTGCTACTTGTACCTTCATCTTCTAAAGATGTTACTGTTCTGCAGTGGCCTCCTTTCTTGCTTGCTAGCAAAGTAATTAATTTAATGCATATATCTCTGCAACATCTTCGCCTTGTCCATTATCTCTTCTTGATTGATTTGTTCCCTTTTGGTGACAGATTCCAATAGCATTAGACATGGCCAAAGATTTCAAGGGAAAGGAGGACATTGATTTATTCAAGAAGATTAAAAATGAATACTATATGCATTATGCAGTGGTTGAAGCTTATGAATCGGTGAGGGACGTTATATATGGTCTTCTTGAAGATGAATCTGATAAAAGGTGTGAATTGTGTTTTTTTTTCCTTCATGATTAGACTTTACTTTACATCAGATTTATGCACTAACTATATACTACTGCTGTCTCCTAATCTATATAGGATTATAAGGGAGATTTGTTATGAAATCGATGTTAGCATTCAACAACATCAATTTTTACGTAAATTCCGGATGACTGGTATGCCTTTGCTCAGTGATAAGCTTGCGAAGTTCTTAGATATTCTGGTAACGTGAATATATATATTTTTTTTCTCGTTCAATACCAATACTTTCTTTTTGTGTGTGTTTATTTTTCGTCCTACTCAATGAAATCTTGTCATGCTGACAGCTAAATGGTAATGAGAGAGATGAAACTTACAAGTCTCAGATAATCAATGTTCTCCAAGACATTATTGAAATCATCACGCAGGATATCATGGTTGACGGTCACGAGTAAGTCTTTGATCGTTCATATGTGAAAGTTTGGCTCATTTTCTAATATTCTTGTGTAACATGCTTTGCCTTCCTACCTGTAGAATCCTGAAGAGGGTTCATTTTCAGAGTGGTGATATTAACACCGGCAAGAAAGAACAAAGGTTTGAAAAGATAAATCTTCATAATCAGGACACATCTTGGAGGGAAAAGGTAGACAATTTTTATTTATTTTTCTGTCTGATGTGAACAACCAACTATGTATACTGCTTTTGATTTCATTCTTTTGTAGGTTGTAAGACTTTTCTTACTTGTAACATTTAAAGAATCTGCTATTAACATCCCTCAAAATTTGGAAGCTCGGCGTCGTATGACATTCTTTGCAAATTCCCTGTTCATGAATATGCCAGACGCTCCTCGAGTTCGTGACATGCTATCGTTTAGGTTAATGTTTAGCTTAATACCTGAAGGACTCGCACCTTAGACATGTTCTAAACAACATTTCTTTTCCAAATTTGTATCTAGTGTCTTAACTCCTTATTACGAAGAAGCTGTTCTCTATTCAGAAGACGAATTGAACCACGAAAATGAAGATGGAATATCTATATTATTCTACCTACAGAGAATATATCCTGGTGAGTTTCTATATTTGTACGTCTCTTATAACATATTTTGAAGTTTTAGCCAATGAAAATGTCTGTTTAACAGAGGATTGGACGAATTTTTTCGAACGTGTAACTGATGCCAAACGGAACTTTTCTGACAAAGAAAAAATAGACCAACTCCGTGAATGGGTATCGTATAGAGGCCAGACCCTTTCAAGGACAGGTATATGCTATTTATCAGAATGCTTTAGGATTTTTACTTATACGTATACGTTCTTCTCTGATCGCTAATGTATTAAAAATCTTTACTATTTACTAGTTAGGGGAATGATGTACTACAGAAAATCTCTTGAACTTCAATGTTACCAGGAATACACTGGAGAAATTGGTTTGTATTTTTTCTCCATTTTCAATCTCAGTATTGAAATATTTTTTGGAAAGTTAATGTTGCTTGGAGACAGTTTTGTTTAAAGAGCTCCACTGTTTTCATCTTAACAGCTACCGATGATGGCTACCTTTCCTCAGCATCAAATGAAGATTTTATGAACCGTGCAAGAGCTCTTGCAGATTTAAAATTCACATATGTTGTGTCATGCCAAATCTATGGGAACCAGAAAAAGTCAAGTAAACTCAGTGATCGAAATCGCTACAATAATATTTTACAGCTCATGCTGAAGTAAGAAAGTTGCCCACTGTTTGAAATCAAACCTTCATGTTTATTTATATTTTTAGATTTGTTTTTAATTTTTATACATTAATTTTTAGGTATCCATCCTTGCGTATTGCCTATATAGATGAAAGGGAGGAGATAATTAATGATAAATCACAGAAAGTATTCTACTCTGTGCTGCTCAAAGGAGGTAACAAATTAGATGAGGTAAAATAAGGCAAATTTGTATTTATAATTTTTATATAAATAGGCCTTACCACATATGATAGTGTAATGTTATTCCTCTGAACTTTGTGTTCTTTTTGATTTTTAGGAAATATATCGTATCAAACTTCCCGGAAAACCTACTGATATTGGTGAAGGAAAGCCCGAGAATCAGAATCATGCCATCATTTTCACTCGTGGTGAAGCACTTCAGACCATTGACATGAACCAGGACAACTACTTTGAAGAGTCTTTCAAAATGAGAAATGTGCTACAAGAATTTGATGAAGGTCGTCGTGGCAAGAGAAATCCCACAATTTTGGGTCTTCGTGAACACATATTTACAGGAAGGTAATGAGATTCTTTAATTAATATGTCTCCACCTTTTTTGGCACTATAGCATCGTTTTTTCTTTTCTTAATCTGCCTTGTCTGATTTCTCTATGACTCCACAGTGTATCATCACTTGCTTGGTTCATGTCGAATCAAGAAACAAGTTTCGTTACCATTGGCCAACGTGTTCTGGCAAATCCTCTGAGGTATTCTCATAATTATGTGCTAGGGAAAATATCCTTCCTGCATCATTAAATCTTTGTATAACTTAGTCACGTTTATTTTACAGGGTGCGTTTCCATTATGGCCATCCTGATATATTTGATAGAATCTTCCACATCACGAGGGGAGGCATTAGCAAGGCTTCAAAGATAATAAACTTAAGCGAAGACATCTTTGCAGGTAGAGAAGAGTTTCATCACAAACGCTATATTTGCTTTATTTAATTGTGATGGCTAATCATGGTAACATTCAGGGTACAATTCAACACTTCGTGGGGGTTACATCACACATCACGAGTACATCCAAGCAGGGAAAGGGCGTGACGTAGGGATGAATCAGATTTCTTTTTTTGAAGCCAAAGTTGCTAATGGTAACGGAGAACAAACACTAAGTCGTGACGTTTACCGACTTGGACGCCGGTTTGATTTTTACAGGATGCTCTCCTTCTACTTCACCACTGTTGGATTCTATTTCAGTAGCATGGTAATGCCTAATTAACGTAATAGTTACCTCCACTGTTCTAAAAATCGGTCTAGTCGCTCAAAGAAAAAAATTAGCCTAGATGCTCCATAAACAATAATTACTCTATTAGATGCCTAATTCCCGCCTAACGATTTTTAGAACATTAGATTCTCTTCCCTGTACTAGGAGTAAGAAAACATTTTTTTTTTGCTATGTTTCAGATAACGGTGGTCACAGTGTATGTGTTTCTTTATGGGCGTCTTTATTTGGTACTGAGCGGATTAGAAAAGGAGATTCTACAAAGTGCAACTGTACATCAGTCCAAAGCCCTTGAGGAAGCATTAGCAGCTCAAACCGTTTTCCAATTAGGTTTTCTGATGGTTCTGCCAATGGTTATGGAGATTGGTCTAGAGAAAGGGTTCCGCAAGGCCTTGGGTGATTTCATCATCATGCAGCTTCAGCTCGCCTCTGTCTTCTTCACGTTTCAGCTGGGAACAAAAGCACATTACTTTGGGAGGACGATTCTGCATGGAGGCTCCAAGTACAGAGCCACCGGTCGTGGGTTTGTTGTTTTCCATGCAAAGTTTGCGGAAAACTACAGATTATATTCGCGAAGCCATTTTGTGAAGGGACTTGAGTTGGTAATATTACTAGTGGTGTATCAAGTTTATGGGAACTCGTACCGTAGCTCAAGTCTTTATCTATACATCACGTTTTCAATGTGGTTCTTGGTGTCTTCTTGGTTGTTTGCTCCGTTTATATTCAACCCATCTGGGTTTGAGTGGCAAAAGACTGTGGATGATTGGACTGACTGGAAAAGATGGATGGGGAACCGAGGTGGCATTGGAATTGTAGTTGAGAAAAGTTGGGAATCATGGTGGGAATCAGAGCAAGAACATCTCAAGCACACAAGTATAAGAGGAAGAGTTCTTGAGATACTTCTCGCACTGCGTTTCCTTCTTTACCAGTATGGCATTGTCTACCACCTCAACGTCGCTCATGGCGACACAACATTCCTGGTATATAATGTTCTCTTTTTTTTTTTTGACTTCCCTCTTTTAGCTTTTGAGAATGCCAATTAACTCTGAACCTTTCTTCTTTAAGGTTTATGGACTCTCTTGGGGTGTTTTGTTGGCAGTTCTTCTCGTCCTAAAGGTAAGAATGCTCCTAGAAACAAATATACATTTAGAGATAGTCTACAATGAGTAGGTTTATTTCTTCACGTTAATGATATGTTTTTGTTTAATCATTTGACAGATGGTATCAATGGGTAGAAGAAAATTTGGAACAGATTTTCAGGTTATGTTTAGGATTCTCAAGGCGCTTCTCTTCCTCGGTTTCTTGTCAGTCATGACTGTATTATTTGTAGTCTGCGGCCTTACAATCTCAGATCTATGCGCTTCATTCCTAGCTTTCTTGCCTACAGGGTGGGCCATTCTTCTTGTAAGTTCCTTAGCTTTGACAAGAATCTTTGTGACTTTGATGAGAATTAAGTTTGTTAATGTGTTTTTGGTATTGTGTTTTGAAGATCGGGCAAACGCTGCGTGGGGTGCTAAAGGGAATAGGAATATGGGACTCGATTAAAGAGCTAGGGAGAGCGTATGAGTATATAATGGGGCTTTTGATATTCACACCCATTGCAGTGTTATCTTGGTTCCCATTCGTGTCTGAGTTTCAGACGAGACTGCTGTTTAACCAAGCCTTCAGTCGCGGTCTACAGATCTCTATGATCCTTGCGGGAAAGAAAGACAAAGATACACCTTCCCTCTCCAACAAAACTCTGAAAGATACACCTTCCATGTCCAACAAAACTCTATAAATTAACTGTGATATTTTCTTAATTTATACATTTATTAATTTATTAAAAGTCATTTTTTTAGTTAATTATATATTTTGATGGATTTTTATTATTTTAAAATAAGAAGAAAACTGTTTTTTATAGGTATAATTTTTTTGTGTTGTTCTTATTCAATTACTTAAGAGTACAAACGATATTTTATCATAAATGAAAATACATTTCAGGTGTAAATGATAAAAATGACATCAAATTCTTTTTTGGTTCACACCCATTGCAGTCTTATCTTGAATTGTTTTTGAATGAATTGTTTTTGAATGATCTAGAATTGTTTCTGAATAATCGAGAATTATTTTTGAAGGGTCCAACAAAATTTCTGAAGAGTTCGGAATTTTTTTTAAAGGGTCCTGAATTGTTTTTGAAGGGTCTAGATTCTTTTGAATTCTTTCTGGGTTCAGAATTATTTTTGAAGAGTCAAAAATTGTTTCTAAAAGGTACTGGGTTGTTTCTGAAGAGTTAAAAATTGTTTCTGAAAGATTCAAAATTATTTATGAAGGATTCAGAATTCTTTCTGAAGGATCAGAATTGTTTTTGAAGGATTCCGAGTTTTTTTAGAAATGTTCATATTTTTTTCTGAAAGATTCAAAAAAAATTTATGAAGTGTCCAGAATTATTTACGAAGGGTACAAAATTATTTTTGAAGGATTTATAATTTTTGTTGAAGATCCCAGAATTTTATTTGAAGGATCCAAAATTTTTTCTAAAGAGTTTAGAATTATTCTGAAGTATCCAAAATTATTTTTGAAAAGTTCAAAACTATTTTTGAAGGGTCCAAAATTGTTTCTGTAAGATCCAAAATTGTTTCTGAAATGTTGAGAATTGTTTCTGAAAGTTTCTGAAAGTTTCTGAATTGTTTCTGAAAGTTGCAAAATTGTTTCTTAAGATTTTGATTTTTTTTGAGGATTTAGTATTGTTTTCAAGTGTTTAGAATTGTTTTTCAAGGGTTGAACATTGTTTTTGAAGCGTTCATATTTTTTCTAAATGATTCAGAATTTTTTCTGAAGAGTTCATAACTTTTTTTGGAAGGTCCATAATTGTTTCTGAAAGTAAAAATTTATTTCCAAATTGTTGAAATTTGTTTTTAAATTATTCTGAATTGTTTATTAAGGATTTAGAATTGTTTTTGAATGTTTCATAATTATTTCTGTTGAGTATTATTTTTTTAACCACACATTCTATCAAGTATTATATTGAAAATACACACGGTGCATAGATGAAGTAGAATTTTTAGTCGGTGGGTGAATTATAAAGTGTTTGGAGGTTATTAAGTGCAATTTTCCTCCTATTAATACCTGGTGAATAATAAAAGGTTAAAATATTGTGTTTATAGGAAATTACACTTTCATCCTTCTCTCTTATAAGAACGTCTTCTTCTACATACACTTTAGAAAGGTAATTAACATTGAGAAAGTCAGAAAACACACCATATAGAACCTCCCTCCTTCTCGGTATGTACACTCGTACCCGTTTCATCTATTTTATATAACTTTATTACAATCAGATTGGTGAATGTAGATATAAAGGTATCCTTAGATGCAGTCGTAGGAGATTAGGTCTTTCATGCCACAATTAGAAAAGCTATCGCCTTTACTGAAACCCTTAATGTTTAAATCCTTTCCAGAGCCTTAAAGGTTAATTTCAGGAACCGTTGAGTCTCCCTTTGTCTTATTCTAGGGTTTTTAAGATTCTGGGTCTTTCTTCACTATAATTGTGTATGTGCTTTTGAGATTTAAAAAAAAAAATGGAAAGACTTTTGATTCATGTTTGTCTTTTTTTTGTTACAGTAGTTCCTGATGCAATCAACGGTGCAGCATGGTGGGAACAAGAGTGGCAAGTCCACCACCAATGTATGGGCTAACAACACTAATCTAATAAAGACAATGGCAGCTTTAGATGAGTTCAAATCTGGGTTTCCCTCAAAGGGTTTAGCAACCGTGTCAAACAAATGGTGGGGAAGGTCTGGAACAGGCGGACGAGTTGAAGATGCTGGACTAGAGAGTGCTGAAGATGGAGGAGATGTCAAGGAGGAAGAAGCAGCTTCTGAGAATCAGAGTTCTTTGCTAGCTATTAGGAAAAGAATAGCTGAAGAAGGAAGAGAAGCTCTTGAGGTTGGTGTCAGTCAAGGGTTTGGTTCTAAAAGAATAGACAAGAGAGATCAGCATCTTTTGTCTCAGATCTTTAAGTCTTCATTGCCAAAGGAATGGGTTAATGATTCTTCCTGAACTCGTTTTGTATTGTTTGGAACATAGTTTCTGCTTGAATTAGTGTTCTGTGTTTTTTTGTAATCCATAAGTTCTTGAACTCTTCTGCAACTATGTATTGTGTTTTGGTATCGAAAACGGATAGTATATGAGAAGAATTCACTAGTTACAAAGAGACAAATACACCAGTAATTTGTAGTATAAGGTTGGTCATGTCTCAGAGTGATTTGGAAATACAACAGGAAAAAGACTTGCATCAACAATAAATAAGTTCTGTTAATTCCAAAAACATAGAAACAAATGATACATTAACAATGAACTTTGGAGGAAAGCTAACATAAACAGAGGAGATGCCGGAAATGGAGGTGAAGCAGCATAAAGGTTTTGTAGGTATAACGTTGAAACTAAACGTGCATATGCCCTTGAGAGGTTCCAGGCTCTTCATGCTCAACCATGTCAGGAACACTGTCTGCTTTTCATGTCAAATGCCTATACAAACAAAATGTACTTAAAGCTGTGAGTGCAAGGTTCTGAGACAGCCTACAAGAAGCGCTAATCAAACCAAACATCCTAAAGATGTGCACAAAGAAAGTTTTAAAATTTTACCTCTTGAAGAGTTCTGAAAAGTAGCGTGTACCATTGTAAGCTACAAACCACATCAAGACTACCACCAAACCATCTAACAAAAGAGTTGAGGAAACATGCAAAGAGACAAAGAAGAGGCAAGCAGAGATTTGAGGTTCTAAAAAAAGTTCAAATCTAACATTTTCCCCACCAAACTGATTTTTTTCAATCAGAGCTAGTCTAACTTTACCAATTTAATCTCAAATACTTATTAATATATCATCACCAACAAACAATGTAAGAAATCAATAACTTTGCATTCTTTCTAACGATCGAACAGTAAAAAATTAATATTTAAAGCAGAAGACCAGATCACTCAAAAAGAAAGGATACTGAAGAGGTAACGTTCCCACCAATCAAGCATATATAGCCCGAATGTGACATTGTAAAGGTAGATTTTGCGTTGAACCCAGTTCATATCTGATCCAATTCCTACAATAAAAAAAACAGAGATTAATTACAAATCTGGATTCAATGATCTGAAAACACCATCTTATCAAAGTCTCAAACTTTACCAGGTAGATCAGACAGACAACGTTGATTCAGGTAGTATAAGCGTTTGAGAGACTCGAGATCACACTTTTTAGAGATTCGTAGTGAAGAGAGAAATCAGAAATGGACGGAGACGTCAAAGGTGGAAAAGAAAGTCTTTGTCTTTACGGTTCCCAGTTCCGACCACGGTTTCTTAATAACGGTTTAAAGTAACCAGTTAATTAATGCCGGTTGAGTGGAACCAAACCGTCCCAGATTAAATCAGTTCATTAGCCACGTAGGACTGATATGTCAGATTCAGACATGATCGGTTACCGTTTATCTGTCGGAACCACAAACTTAAAGTCGAAATTTTTTTTTTTGTAAGTCGAAACCTTCCCTTCCCTCATTTTTTATCTCTATTCATGTTTTCAGCGTTCGTCACTTTCATTGTTTGATTCGATTCTCCGATTCATTTCCCTCGTAACTGCCGTAGGTGGGGGAAGCGACTGTGCAGTAGGATAACAGTTTCTCTAAATCAGGAACTGAGGCGGGAGAATGGTGAAATCAGCCGGAGAATGGAGACACTGACGGCGGAGAAAAGATCAATAATTTGAGAGAAGCAAATGTGAGGCGTAGGATGAGTGAGATGGAGCGAGAGATTGACAAGTCGGAGGAGGAGAGGAAAGTTCTTGAGGCTATAGCTGATAGACACTCGGAGCTCAAGACAGAAGTGGCAAAGGCTTCAGAGTGAGCTGTTTACTGCCAAGACGGAAAAGACAAGAGGCGGTGGCCGAAGCTCTGGTCTGAGATTTCGCAGAGAGGAGATGGGGAAAGAGGTTTCTGGTTTAAGTAGTTTAAAGGAGGAGAACAAGAAGAGAATGAAGGAGTTGGAGACGAAGCTTGGTGCTTTGGAAGTGAAGGAGTTAGAGAAGAGGAACAAGAAGGTTGGATCAGAGGAAGAGATGAGAGATAAGATTGAGAATAAGGAGAAGGAAGTTGATGAATTGAAGGAGAAGATCAATGATTTGGAATCCAATGTTTGCAGAAGGAAAAGCAGAGGAGAAAGTGGTGGCGATGGGATCAAGATTGTGGAGTTAGAGAGACTGATTGATGAGTCTGTGAAGATGATCATTGACTGAAGAATATGGTTGAAGAACCACTTAATGGCAATGAGCTTAACTCACGGTCGTATGACTGCTGGTTCTGGTGGTGGTGGAGCTATGGCTGCTGTTGCGGTTGGAGCAGCCGTCGTTGGCTACATTTGGGAGGGTTATATGGTCGGTAACTTGCATGATAGTTTGGTTGATTTCACAGTTGTTGGAGTCTTCTTTATTGTTTACATCTTTTCATTACAAATGTTCTCAGCAATAATCAAGAGATTAAGGTGGAATGACATTTTTTGTAATCATGGTTTTAATATTTTATAGTATAACATAATAAAACAGTTTTACATATCGATTGCAAATCTTTTAGTTTGGTTCTTCTTCTTATTCAACCCGTTTGGCTTCAAGAGTCTTCTCATACTCTTCAATAGACTTGAAGAGCTCAGAGAAGTTACCTTTACCAAACCCACCACATCCTCCACTCTGGTAAACCTTCCCTTCCTCATCTTTCTTCATACATCCCACTCTCTGTATTATCTCTATAAATATCGTCGGCCTATCAACACAACAAAACATTCTCAGCATCTCATCAAACCCTAACTAACACATAAAAAGAGAAGAGAGACTCTTCTCACCTGTCACCAAGTGGTTTTGTAAAGATCTGAAGCAACGTCCCTTGATCATCTCTATCCACAAGAATCCCCAACTCCTCACACTCCTTAATCTGCTCATCACTAAGCACATCTCCAACCCGGTTCTTGAGATTCTTGTAGTAAGTAGGCGGAGGAGAAGGCATGAAGTCAAACCCTCCAACACCGCTCCTCTTCCTCATCTCTCTCAGAGTCCTGAATATGTCTTCACTCATCAGAGCCAAATGCTGTAGCCCTGCTCCTTCGTTGTGTTCCAAATATGTCTGAATCTGACTCTTCCTCTTCGTCCCGTGCACCGGCTCGTTTATCGGTAAAAGAACCATCTCATCGTTGTTAGCTAAGACAGCTGAGTTTAAACCACTCTCAGCTGTTCCAACGTCGTCTGCTGTGAACTCCGCGAACTGGTGGAAGCCAGTGAACCCCGCGAGGTAAGTCAACGCTGGACCAAGCTCAGGGACGTTTCCCACGGCATGGTCAAGCCTCCTTATCCCGTAATCAAGTGGAAACGACGACGTATCCTCCACAGTCTCAAATCCCGGAAGGAAATTAACGGTCTCTCCTACTTTATAACTAACGTAACGGAGAACAACATCTCCGTATAGTTTAACCTCAGAGATCGTAACGGCTCCGTTAAGGACGTTAGGAGGCGATGAAGGAACGGCGCCGTTAGCTACACTGATGGAGAAGGCTGACTCAGCATCTTCGACTTCAATCGCTACGGCTCTTACGCCGAGTCCGTGCGAAGAGAAGAAAGAGCGGCAAGAAACGTGATCAAACGACGGGATGGAGGCTGTAGAGGCGTTTTGGCCGGCGGAGAGGGAGGGAGAGTAGGGAGCAGTGAAGAGGAATCTGAGGTCGCCGGAGGTGAGTAAGTAGGAGGCGTGGACCATGTTTCCGGTGGAGAGATCGGATTTGGCGGAGAATCTCATGCCGAGACCCCATGAGAAGCGACGGGAGACGTTGGTGGCGTCGCCGCACCAGAACTCGATGTGGTGGAAGCGTTTGACCTTGAACTTGTCTGACTTTGGATTCTTTCTGACGAACTTGGAGAATCCGACGAGCTTGAATACGGGAGGTGCAGACGTGGCAGCGTCGTCGTGTTGCTGAGGTTCTGAAACGGTGGCGTTTTCGTGCCCCATAGAGTTTTTCACCTTTCTTTCAGCTAGAACTAAAACTCTGCTACGGAACTGAGTGTGGTTCGTTGAGCTGTGTTCACAAATATAAGAAAAAGAAAAAAAAAAAAAGAGGTAAAAAATCTTGTTTAGTCTTAAGATAGTCAGATCAGGTGTTCGACTAATGTTTGACACTGAAGCGTACACGTGTAAGGTCAGATTTTCATTAAAAGGAAGCGTTACGTGATGTACCTCCCCTTTTAGTGCTGGTTGGTCCTGTCTCCTTGTCCAGTTACGGAGTGCGTACGTGTAAGACTTATCCACCGTTGAGAAACATTGCATTTTCCGCAATATATTTTCCACAATATCCAAAAGACCAAACTACTTTCTAAGAGTTTATCTGTTCATGACTTATTTCTCTAGCACTTTGCAATTAAAATGTTATAACACAAAGTGGAATATAAATTATATAAGTTATAGCACACAAAATGATATTCGCTTCCTATGTACAACACAAATGAGCTTATGTGTATGTAATGAACTACACCTGCAATATCTAATGCTCGAGGGAACCCACCTAGTATAATACCATTACATCCTTCATGCCTAACTTATAGTCAGACGCATTTATGGAGACTTAAGAAAACACTTAACCCCTCCTAATCTCTAAGGTCTGTATCCTAATTACCTCTTTTATATCTCCACTCAATTGGCATAAACCCATCTTCATTCATTCTTCTATACAGCTCATGCGCTTCACGCCATAGTCTTTTCCTACGCAATCCTATCATCATTGTCATGTACGTTACAACATCCGGCATTACTCCTTTGAGATCAAGACTGCAAAATAAACACCAAGCCTCTTCCGCCTTACCCGCCTTGCACATTCCTTTGATGATAATATTATACGTAATAATCCCAATACCCATTCCACTCTTTTCCATATCCTCCAATACCACCAACGCCTTTTTCACCTTCCAATGCTCACATAAACTGTCTAACAAAATGTTGTAGGTGAAAATATCGGCACGCACGCCACAAGAAACCATCCGACATAGCACCTTATCCGCAGCTCTAAATCTCCCCACTTGACAATAACCTTGAAAAAGAGTGTTGTAAGTGAATGCATCACCAACCAACCCATTACGCAACATCATGGAGAAGATCCTCATCCCATCATCCACCCTCATAAACTTACAAAACCCATTTATGAGAGTATTATAAGTCACTAGATTCGGGACGCAACCTCTCCTCACCATAAACCTAAACGTGTTTTTCGCCTCATCTAGACGACCGTTAATACAAAGCCCATTGATCAACGAATTATAAGTAACGATATTAGGATCTACCGATCTTCTAATCATCTCCATATACACTCCCTTAGCCTCTAAAACCCTTCCCTCTTTCACATACGCATCAATCACAGCACTGAACGTCACCACATCAGGCTTAATCCCTTTCTTCATCATGTCACTAACCAAAAAAGCAGACACACCCCATACACCAGAGCTAAAAAGACCAGTGATAAGCGAGTTATACGAAACAACGTCAGGCCTAACTCCAACACTCTCCATACGTCTCAAAACGTCAATGGCAGTAGTCAAACACCGGTTTTCGCAAAGACTATCAATAATCATGTTATAGATTACAACATTAACTTCATAACCTAACTCCACCATCTGATCAACTAAACACATCGCATCGTGGACTCTATTCACATAACAGAATCCATTAACTATTGATCCTAAGGTAACCACGCTGGGGGTATAACCGAGTTTCATCATCTTCCCGAGGAAAGAGAGAGCAGCAGAGAGTTTTGAGCATCTGCATAAACAGTCTATCAAGATACTGAAGCTGTAGAGATCATTTGAGATTCCTAATTGATCCAATTGAGTGAAGAGATAGATTACGAGGCCGTGTTTGTTCATTTTGGCGATGGCGGTTAGTACTCTAGTGAAATCGATTATCGAAGGGAGGGGATGAGACTCGGTCATGTCACAGAACAGATCAAGTGCGTCGTGGAGTTTGATTGAGTGGAGATTGTTTCTTAATCTCTCTCGGTAGTTATTCCGAGTGGAGAATGATCGGAGACTGTAGGAGAGGGCGGTTATAGGGATGGTACCTTTCTGAAGAAGATGACGGTGAAGAAATGTTTTTGCTGTTAATGCAATCGCAATGGTAATCGATCTCTGCATCCGAGTGGAATTAGGTTTCGGCTAATTGGCTGCTTCGTTCACCATGTCGGGATGTAAACCCTAGGGGAAAAAACGCCGAGCAGTTCTCCGGCGAGCTTCCGTTGAGTTTCGTCAAGGTTTTGGATATGTAATTGTTGTCTCGCACTAAACGACGTCGTTAAATGATAAGTGGGTTTCTATACGTAATTACTTCGGCCCGTTTTTGTTTCGGCCCAAGCGGCGACGTTTTGTCAAAAGAAACAGAGAGATTGTGTTTAGTGTTTAACACTAAACATATACAAACAGTTCTCAAATCACCTCGATGGTTTTTCAGTGGCTTACATTTTCAGAGGTAGTATAAGGCTGCAAGTTACTGGTATAGCTGGCCGTCTGGTTAAGAGTATCTTTTTACTAAGTAAGATAAAATTAATTTTGTATTGGCGAGAACAAACATCAATGGGGATGTAGCTCAGATGGTAGAGCGCTCGCTTAGCATGCGAGAGGTACGGGGATCGATACCCCGCATCTCCATTTTCTTTTTGAACTTTACAGCTGCAAGTTTGGGAGATACTTTCTCTTGTTACATCTCTGAAACCACAGAATCTCCCCGCGAAATGTTGTGATGGAATACTCAGAGCAAGTGATGATCATGCATTTTGCCATGTCTACCAACCTTGTGCAGAGCCTGACCTAGCTTCAGACGCAAGTAAGTACCTCTGTTTATGAACTTAATGGATAGGAATGTGTTTGTAACTATGTATAAATATTTACAGATTAATCTAACATAAGAAAAATATCAAAACTGTGTCTGAGGAACAGTATTTGTATTATTAATTTATTATCTAATCAAAGATGCGTGAGACTTTTATATTCTCTGTAATAACTTCTTGTATAACAAGACAATGTCAAAGCCAGTGGGCCAAGGGTTACTATCAGAAGCCGTTATCTTTTTCCTTCTTACAAACCTTATCTCTGATCTATGGTTTTGCTGTAACCACTGGTCTTATCTCCAAACGTATGAAGAAAGTTTCGTTTTTTCTTCGTGGGTTACGTTTTTTACCAGATTGCTCTGTTATCTGACAAACAAAAAGAAAATGGAGACGGCGAAGATTGCTTCATACGATCGTCTCAGTGAGCTTAAAGCTTTCGACGAGACAAAGACAGGTGTAAAAGGACTCGTAGACGCCGGAGTCTCAAAGGTTCCACGTATATTCCATCACTCATCTCTCAGACAATCAATCCCTAAACCACTTTCCTCTGAGTTGCTCCATGTCACAACGATCCCAACGTTTGATATCGGAGGACGAATCTTCAAGGACGAGACTAAGCGCAAGAACGTGATTCAAGGGATTAAAGAGGCATCAGAGAAGTGGGGTTTCTTTCAGGTGATTAACCATGGAGTTCCTCTCGATCTTCTCGAGAAGATGAAAGATGGAGTTCGTGAGTTTCATGAGCAACCACCAGAAGTGAGGAAACAGTATTATGGGAGAGATTTCAGTAGAAAGTTTATGTATTTGAGTAACTTCGATCTTTTCAGCGCTCCAACTGCTAACTGGAGAGACACTTTCTCTTGTACCATAGCTCCGGATCCTCCAAAACCCGAGGACTTGCCAGAGATTTGTAGGTATGATGTATTGATGTTGACTCGATTGCTTAACCTGCATTGATATCAAGACTTGGACTAGGCACATCCAGATGAAACATTCGGTTTAGTTCTAAATTTTAAAAAAGCTACTAGACATATTAGGCATGCGGGTTTGGTTACTTTCGGTTATTCGGCTAGGATAGTTTGATTTTTTGTTATTTCGGTTCAACATAAATCTTACCGATTAATCCGAAATAAAATTTGGTTGGTTTAATATACGGTTAGTTCGCTTTTTGAAAATCCTACCAACATTCTTTATTTCGGTTAGATTTTGGTAGAATTTTGTTGATATCTCAGATGGTTTTGGTTATTTTAGTTTGAAATTTGGTTAGTTTGATTAGTTCGGTTCATTTTCTTTTAGGGTTTGGGAATAATTTTTTTTTTCAAAGAATAAAACCGTAGTAATCGACTGCCGAACCAAATCAAATCGAAAACTGATTTTTTAACCTACCAAATCGAACCAAACTTCTAACCAACTGCCAAAGTTTCAATTTGGTTCGACGGGTTGGGTTCGGTCCAAAATCCAATGCCTAATGCATATGTTGCATGGTTCTCAAATTGTCAAAAAAAAAAGGAGTAAGATTAATTCAAAAATGTTTATGATCCTACAAATTTCGCCTTGTTTGACATGTTATCTATATTCATCTAATGAATTGTTGCAGGGATGTTATGTTGGAATACACAGAGCATGTGATGAATTTGGGAGAGTTTCTCTTTGAGCTTTTATCAGAAGCTCTAGGGTTAGACCCTAACCATTTGAAAGAGCTGGATTGCTCAAAGGGTTTGCTCATGCTTAACCATTACTACCCACCATGTCCAGAACCTGACTTAACTTTAGGCACAACTCAGCATTCAGACAACTCTTTCCTTACCGTTCTTCTTCCAGATCAGATCGAAGGGCTTCAAATCAACCGTGAAGGGCACTGGTACGATGTTCCTCATGTTCCTGGTGCACTCATTATCAACGTCGGAGATCTTCTACAGGTTAGTTTGCACAATCAACGCCTTTTGCCCTGTTTTGCTCTGTTTAATTGTATATGTGTTTTGGTTTGTTATGTTTGTTTTTTGTTGCAGCTTATAACAAATGACAAGTTGATTAGTTTGGAGCACCGTGTATTGGCAAACAGAGCCACACGAGCTCGAGTCTCCATTGCGTGTTTCTTCACCACTGGTGTAAGACCGAATCCTAGATTGTACGGACCTATTAAAGAGCTTGTGTCTGAAGAAAACCCTCCAAAGTACAGAGAGATCACTATTAGAGAATACGCTGCTCACGTCACTGCCAAAGGTCTAGACGGAACCTCTGCTTTGCTCCATTTTAAACTATGATAATATATGTAATATGTCGAGAATAAAAGAATACTCAGGAGGTGCATAAACATCTCTAACTATACTTTTAATTTTTTTTTTTGTCAAGTTTCATTAAAGCTGGGAATAAGAGAACTTTAACTGCTCATGTTACATGATAGCCATATATGTTTCACTGTTAGGTAAGAAAGCCAAGTTTCAGAACGAATGTAACACTACTTATAAGTTTGAAACCTCAACGGATTTGTTAGGTTATTATTGTTTACGATTACTTGTTTAGCAAGATATCTCTGCTTCTGAGCCCATTCTTAGTTGTTTAGTAAGATATCTCTGCTCCTTGAGTTTGAACATTTTTTATGATGAATCTGACGTGGAACAATGTAAAACGTATCTGACACGTGGCACATTACAAGACCTCAACAACCTTATCTGGACATCAACAGAGAGATCCTCCAGTATCCAAAACCAGCCAATCATCTTCACTCTTGATCTCAGCTTCATGCATTATCACACTCCACCATCCTCAAACAACACTTTCATCATAACTTATTAAAAAAGAACAGAGAAAGAAAGATCAAGAGAGAGAGAGAGAAAATGGCGTACAGCGCGTGTTTACTACACCAGAGCGCACTAGCCTCCTCCGCCGCACGATCATCATCTTCCAACTCATCCCAACGCCACTTGTCACTCTCCAAGCCCGTCCAGGTAGTCTGTAAAGCTCAACAGCACCAAGAAGACGATAACTCCATTGTCTCTCGCCGTCTAGCTCTAACACTTCTCGTCGGCGCCGCCGCCGTTGGTTCCAAAGTATCACCCGCTGATGCTGCATATGGTGAAGCTGGTACGTAAGATCATTTCATTTTCAGACCATGCAAGGGTACAGAATCTTCTTATAACGATCTGTTGTGTGTTCTTTTTTTTTTCTTGGTTTTGCAGCAAATGTGTTTGGTAAGCCAAAGAAGAACACAGACTTCACTGCATACAGTGGAGATGGATTCATTGTGCAGGTGCCAGCTAAATGGAACCCCAGCAGAGAGGTGGAGTATCCAGGACAAGTCCTTAGGTATGAAGACAACTTTGACGCCACTAGCAATCTCAATGTCATGGTCACTCCTACTGACAAGAAGTCCATCACTGATTACGGTTCCCCTGAAGAGTTCCTCTCTCAGGTCTTTACTCAGATGACATCATCTACAGAGATTCTTGATAACTCAAAAACCAAAATGAATAGTGAGAGTTAATGATGTTTGGGTCTTTTGGCAGGTCAACTATCTCCTAGGGAAACAAGCTTACTTCGGTGAGACTGCCTCTGAGGTAAAACATAGAATATGAGAATCAATAACCAAAGACAATAGTAGAATGTGGTCAAAAAATGTATACCGTTTGTGCATTTGAGAGTATATGTGAATCTGATTATCCTTGCAGGGAGGCTTTGACAACAATGCAGTGGCAACAGCAAACATTCTGGATACAAATGTTCAGGACGTTGGTGGGAAACCATACTACTACTTGTCGGTGTTGACAAGAACAGCAGATGGAGATGAAGGTGGTAAGCATCAGCTGATCACAGCCACTGTGAATGGAGGGAAGCTATATATCTGCAAAGCACAAGCTGGAGATAAGAGGTGGTTCAAGGGAGCTAATAAGTTTGTCGAGAAAGCAGCCACTTCTTTCAGTGTTGCTTAAGAAACAGAACAGTGCTCTGCTTTTCTTTCTTCATCTGTCTCTTTGTAGAAACAAGGAAAATGAAACTAAGCTTTTGAGAACTATCTAGATGATGCTACCTAGGAAGCTTCACTTGTGCACCTGTGATAACAGACTCATTTGCAATAATGGTATTATTATTAATAGTCAAATATCTTTGTTATCTCTCTCACACACCAAAATGGCAGCTCTTATAAACATGACATAGTCTCTCTTCTTATAGCACAGCAAAACTGTGTACAAAATCAATCATCCACCAAATGAAACATAATATCATCTTTTACAATTATCCGATGTTTGCAAATGAAAGAAAAGTTTCAAGATTCTGGTGCTGGAGAGGGAGCTGTAGCTGCATGTTTGAGGAGTGGCTGCAGCGCCTTCACAACTATGCTCATATTTGGTCTAAACTCAGATTCATATTGCACACACAATGCTGCCACGGCTGCTAGCTGCATTTTGCCACAACATATTTTGTATTGCTTCAAGATTATAGAGCTTGAATGATTCATATCAATACTACACATGTTCAAGGCATGAAGAGAGGTACCTTAGCAACTGCTTTAGGAGGGTAATCCGCTTTTAGCTTTGGATCAATGCATTGCTTGACTTTATCTTCACTGAGTCTTGGTGTTGCCTGAGCATAGCCAAGAAAATCAAATTTGTAAGACAGGACAACACATTATATAAAAGAGTGATCCATATTTGGAGCTGTGTATACGCACCCAAGTTACAAGACTTTGTTGACCACGAGGCATGGTATGATCCACCGGTTTCCTCCCTGTCAGAAGTTCTAGAAGCACAACGCCAAAGCTGTACACATCACTCTTCTGTGTCAACTGTCCAGTCATTGCATATCTGCAAATCGGGTGATACATATTAGCTGCTTATCAGAGAATTATACGCAACACAAACCAATCAATGGTACAAGTAACATTACTCTGGAGCATGATAACCAAAAGTTCCCAAGACTCTTGTTGAGTGAAGACGAGCAGCGTTATCAGGAGCTTGGTTTGAGAGATTGAAATCAGCAATCTTTGCCTTGTAGTCTTCAAAGAGAAGAATATTACTGGATCTTATGTCTCTATGGATTACAGGAGGCTGCGACTTCTCATGAAGGTATTCCAAACCCCTAGCTGCCTCAACCGCTATTTTCACCCTTGTTATCCAGTCAAGTGTTGGACCTGGCTGTGCCCCTTGAACTCCCTTCCTACCTGTAAATCAATTTACAGGACAGGCAGGTTATATACCAAGAGAGTTGAAAAGAGAATCTCAAAGTCCAAAAAGCTAATTCTCACCATGCAAGATGTCATGCAATGATCCCATTGTTGCAAACTCATAAGCAAGGACACGGAGGTTGCCATCAACACAGAAACCAAGCAGCTGAATGAGGTTCTCATGCTTCAGTCTAGAAACCATTGAAACCTAAGGAAGAGCAAAAGTATCAATATAACAAGTTGAAAGGCAATATAAAAACAAGCTTCCTGAGTCAAGAAGGAGAAGATGAATAACCTGACTCAAGAACTCGGCATCTGATTCAGCTTCTTCAGGTGCGACATCAAGTTTCTTCAAAGCAACCGCTACACCATCATCCAACGTCGCGTAATACACTCTTCCGTAAGATCCCTCACCAATCAGAGCCTTTGATCCGAAATTATCAGTCTTTCCCTTCACCTCATCCAAAGACAAGGGAGGAACCGCTACGGGAAGAGCTTCCTTCTGCACCTCGTGCTTCACAACAGCTCCTGGTTTTGGAACCTTATGATTCGCTACATACACGAATGAAGACACTCACAGTCACCACCAGTCATTAAAATATGCAAACTCATTCCATTTGGTGACATGTAGATAATAACAACATACCATCGGATTGCTGCTGCTGAGAAGTTTTCAAGTGTTCCTCTTCATTGGAGTCTTGAATCTGACATGTACAACAGATCCACTTCCGCATCCTTCTTTTGGCTCCTGAAAGAGATTAAGTAACTGAGCAAACAGAGACCAAATTAACAGCCTTTATGGACAAGTGATTGAGCACATTCTCTGATGTAACTTTTAGTTTCATCAAAATCAAAACTTTCAATCAAGAACAGACAAATGATTCAACAACACACACACTACACTGAGAACATTTTACATGCAACAAAAAGAAAAAAAAGAGCTCTTGCCGCCATATACGGCGACAGATATGATCAAAAGATGACAACTTTACCATCCAACAGAGTCAACATTTTAGAATCAAAACAAAAACCATGAAGACGTTTTTTCTACAAAATCCAATTTTCAGATGCAAAAAAAAAAAAAAGAGAAGACGTTACCGATTAATCTCCCCCTGAGTCCCTTTCGATGTCCCTCTCAATCTCTCAAAGGTTCGTCGCGTACGATCGTCGCTCTCTGCGTTGATGAGAGAGAGGGTTGCTTGATGGAGACGAATGAGAAAGAAAGAAGAAAGATTAAGGAAGCGAAAGTTAACAGCTTTGGAGTTTTTTTTGTTGTATTGTGTATTGAGTGTATCTAAATGTAATCCCTTCTTCTTTGGCGTTTTGCAACTTAATCACTCTCTCTCTTTTTCTGATTAGTTGTTAAATGGAATAATTATTAATCTACTTACCCAATTTCCAGATATGTTAAAACCTTATCTCACCAAATAATCAAAACATAAGCTGACCGGAAAACAATAACAACCAATTTACCAAACTTTCTACGCATTTTTCAAGTCAATGGTCAAATTGTTTTATAACGAATTTAATTTGAGCAATTTAGCTATAAACCAAAGGAAAAGTTCGATATTAGGAGAATGCCAAAAGACTAAGAAGGTGGATGTACGTGGCAAAAAAGGAGGTATGAGAAAGACGAAAATATCCTGCCCGACTTACAATTCGCCTTCCCAGATTTAGTCTACTATTGTTTCTCTCTGACACAAGATTGTTAGTAGATTTGGTAAGATATTATGCAGATTTTGTTTAGATTTGGAAAGATAATAAAAAGATTTGGGTTAGATTTACTATACTTATTTTTTTTTTTTTCAATCTTTTTCTCTGTTCTTTTTTTTTTCCTACTAAATGTAAACAAATATAAAGAAGATCATGAAGGCTGAAGAAGATCATGAGTTAATCTGGTTATTTCTCCATGAATTCATGAAACATTTTAATTCTTGAATTTCATTGTCTTTCATCTTCTTACATCCTGGAATTCCTCGGGTTACACATCTAGTTTAGCCGGCTAACAAACATGTGTTACACATCTATTACATTTATTAACCAGATAATAAAAGTATGTGGATGTAAACATTATAAAAATAATAAGTTAAGAAATTATGTTTCCGGCTAACTTAACTATATTTCTTGTCCAATATGCTGTCAAACTAGGTAAATGATTTTATTCAAATTTAAAAATAGTTTTTCGAACACCTATGTGAACACAAAAATATGACTCTGTAAGTGCAAAAATAGTTTAACTGGCTAACAAACATGTCTTGCACATCTATTAAATTTATTAACCAGTTACTAAAACGTTGTTGATATATCCGGCTAACAAATATGTGTTACACATCTATTAGATTTATTAACCAGATACTAAAACTTTGTGAATGTAAACATTATAAAAATAATAAGTTAAGAAATTATGTTTCATGCTAACTTGACTATATTTCATGTCTAATATATTGTCAAGCTAGGTAAATTTTTTTATTTAAAATTAAAAAAATAGTTTTTCGAACATTTATGTGAACACAAAAAATATGGCTTTGTAATTAAAAAAATTCTTTTGTTAATGTGTTAATCAAATCTTTGACAAAAACAAATATGGCAAAGATTATCTTCCTGTGGTAAGAGATTACGTATCTAGGAAGAAGATTTGGTATGCCCTGTTATTTTCGGGCAGGTGAGATGTTTATGTAGAAAGGGTAACAGAGTCAAACAACACAATGAACAGTCAGGCTTTTGGTAGATTGCAAATTATACCAAATGTTTTTGGTATGGCTCCTAATTTCTCATTTAATTTTGGCTCGAGTCTCTGATTCTATTTATATAGTATGATACACTCTCTCTTTCATGATAAGTTCTCTCTTTCATAATAAGTGTGGTTTTATACTATAAAGAAACAATAAATTTTGTATATTTTTCATATAAAAACATAATTATTTATATACCTAATCTTATTTCAATCAATAGAAAAAAAAATTAGAGAAAAAGATTAATAAATTTTGTGTTGAAAACCAAAAACGACACTTAATTTGTAACAATTTTTTTTTCTAAAACGACATTTATATGAAATGGAAGGAGTAATAATTATACTGATTTGTGCCAACAAAAAAAATTATATTTAGGAATATGTTAGCTCTACTTATTTGTTGTACCACCAGATTTTTTTTTTTGGAATAGTCACATTGGATTTTTTAGTTTTACTGAGTTTTTTTTGTATTAAATCATTTTTCAATTGTTGATCAGGAAAATAATGAATATATTAGACTTGTTTGATACTAGTACTACTAAATAAAGCAAGTGTGACAAAGATTTATAGAATATATATATCTCTTTCAGAAATAGAAAAGCATAACAGAACAAGACTGATCTTGCGTATGTGTTACATTTGTTCAAATCCTTGGAAGATGTGTGAAAGGCAGAGCTCATATGTACTCCTAAACAAAAATAATGTGTTTGCCGAGGAAGATTGTCTTAGGATATAGTGATCTTCAAATCAAAGCAATTGTTTTATCATCCCATCATTGAAAGCTAATTAAGAAGCTTCGTATATTATTAGTATATATATGCTTGTGATTTTTGTTTTGCCACAACTTTTTTTATACATAGTTGTGGCTGTTAAATTTTAGTTTTCGTGTATAAATCACTACACCAACTATTGAAAGAAAAAGTAATATTCAAAACCAAATGATTATTTATAGAGTAATTCGATATCTAGCTGCACTTCCAATATAATTTCAGTTAGTATTTTCTAAAAATAAATGACATGAAAGGCTGAAGCAACCCTAGTTTGAGACCAGAGAAATGTAGTAATATTGGTTTTGGCAAAACAAACCTTAAAGACTTGGTGGTGATCTTAACAAAAAAGATGTATTAATCTTAGTTTCGTCTCATCTTCTTCTTCATCTGTTTATCTTCAGTACGATACCTCTCACGTCTCTCATCTCTATTCCGTTTCTTAGATATTACTTCCTTCTTATCTTTCTCTGCCTCATACACTTTCCTCTTCTCCTGCTCCTTTGCTTTTCTCTTACTCATCTGTATTTTTTTTAATCCACAGTTCCAAAGTCCATTGTTATTAATAATAAGAAGAGAAAATACCAACACAACTTTAATGGATAGACACAACATTACCTTGACTTTATTCATCAGCTTCAACTGCTGGACGATAGCAAAAGCTTTTCGTTCTCTCGGTTCCATTACAACAGCTCTTCTAGCATCTAGTGATGGTCTTCTTCTCCCTGGTTTATTTTTGGGTTTGGAAGCAAACGGTAGTTCTCCTTGTAGTTTCTTTGATATCACCAATGGATTGAACTTCTTAATCTTCCTTAAGATTGGCTACACAAAAAAAGAAAGAAAGATATATTACTATGTGGAAACCGTCACCTTCATATATATACAATGTTCAATAGAATTTTCTTGTACCTTGTAGAGTGAATCCTTATTCACCGGAATAGGAATATTATGTTCTCTACGAAGTTCCCTAAACGTTTTCATCCCTGTCCACGTCTTCTCCCTAGGCTGCAAGGCTGTAGTTAGAGGATTGTAAAACTGTGGAACTTCCACTGTTGGCCAAGCCTTTAAGAAGACAATGTCGCTCATTTTTATTTGATCTTCGAATGTACACCTCGCAATCCCTTCTTGTGCATTGTTGTTATCTAGCATGTTCTTTCCAGCCTGACAAAAAGGTAAGGCTTAAGCTAATGGGAAAGTATGAATGATTACAAAGTCAAAAGCGCATGCATGCTTACCTTTTTAACTTGTCCTCTAATGCCACTAACTGTGCGGACAGAAGAACCTTCAAATCGAGCTATTTCGAGGTCAGAAGTGAACATGTCTTTGATGAATGCAGTTTTTTTCTTGATCTTGCATGGATGCCCAACAAGCTTGATTTTCTTTGCTATATGGGCTTGGTGATTATACTCGAGTACTACAGATGTCGCTGTTATCCTAAACTCTGCCTGAAAACACACACAACACACCAAGATAGATATACTCAGCGGGAAAGTAGTACAACAGATGTCTCAAGGAGAACAGTGCAGCATTAGCATATACCTGATTGCTTGAGAGGTTTTGGAAAGCGACAAAGCCTGTGTTGGGTGGGACAAGAGGACCCCAGAACGTAGCAAGGCAGTGCATGTGTTCCGGAGTATACTTGAGCATTCGATGTCTGTCATTGCGATCTTCAATGGCGTATACAGGAATAGTCTGATAGCGTCTCCATCCAATAGACACAATAATGGGATCTCTTGTCTTTAATACTTTCTTGTGCCACCTATGTTTCTTCAATCTTGCCTAAGGAACAAGCAAAAACATATGATTTTTTCATGATGAAATAAACCATTAGAGAAAAATTATTGTAGCCATTACCTGCATATATCCAGCATTATCCTCGCCATAACCAATACCTCCAACAAGAACTGGATGACACGGATCAAAGAACTCGACCATCTCATAAGGAACATTGTGAATCTCCAGCCGCAAGTATGTTCCAGTCCTGAAACCTTCTATCTCAATTCGAGTTTCCTCGTCAAGACTATTGAGTTCTAACAAGTTCATCTGTTTTCTAGTTTCAATCTCCTCCTTTAACTGCAAACAAAATAGAGTGAGTATAATAACAGAAAACCTTAAGCTGCAGGCATGAATTATTACTTACTTTATCAAAGTAGCCAGGTTCCTTGGCTTCATTATTACGGCCATTGTTGGCATGACCTTTATCATTATCATCCTCCTCTAACTCGGATATATTGCCTGTGCAGTGAAGTTAAGGTTTTACCAAGAATAACTTGTCAATGTGCAAAACTAAAACAGGTGCCTAAACCAAATAAGTAAAAGACATGAAGAGGAAGAGTAATGCAAACAGAAACTAACAGACTCAATGACAACTAATGCTACTTATAAACTTACTAAACCATTGACATATTTTCATGTGATTCAGGGAACAAACATAGACAATAGTAGACAAGTTCTGGCCTAACAAAGCAGTTAAATGATGCCATTCAAGTAAAAAAAAGGATATTGTGCCTCAAACTTAGCTCGGAGAGCCAGCTTTTTAAGCCTGCGCTCAACTACTTCAGCATCTTCGTTTTGATTTGTACCTGTCTCTAGATCCTCAAAATCACCATAAAGTTCATCATCTTCTCCTTCATCACCCGCCACTGAGTTTTGATTTCTCTGAGCAGCTTTTGACCAATCACCAGTGATGAATCGATTACGAATGACCTCACAGTCTTCTTTCTCTTTCCAATTCTTCAGGTTTCCATAATTTAAAAATCTGGAACAGTCATCTGCGTTGATATATCCCACATCACATCCACTACCTAAGTTCTGGAAATAGATTAAACAAAGAGCCGTTAGTTTGAGACAGAACAAGAAAGAAGTATTGGTCTTTGAAATGACAAACCTTGCTTCCTTCTCCTTTTGGCTTAAAGAAGTCTTCATCATCACTTTCTTCATCATCACTAATTGCAGTAGCTGATGATCTTGATGCACCATAAACAATTTGCATCAAGTTGGTGTTTCTTTTTCTGCCCTTCTCCTTTAACGGTTCTTTCCATTTTGATATGTTACCAAGAACCCTATCTTCTACTTCCTCAACATCAACTTCATCTAAGTCAGAAGCAGAGTCCTCTTCTTCATCTTCAGCTTCATCTCCATCAGATTCAACATCTTCTGCTTCCTCTACCATTGCATCACTCTCACCAACTTCATCTTCGAAGATAGCTTTCCTCCTCAACCGTCCATCATAGATCTCAGTTTTCTGCTTCATTTTACTCTCACTGCTCTCTACATCCATCTCATCATCTTCAGCTTCATCACCAGACTGAGACTCCTCCTCAAGTTTTCTTTCTGAGCTGACACTAGTCTTTTTGCCAAATAAATTGATAAACGTCTTCCCTAACTTCTCATCAACAGAATATTTAGTGTTCTGTAACGACTTTACCAAATCTTCACCAACATCTCTACCCTTTCCTGCCAAGTGAAAAAAAAATATCATAATCAGAGATCCTAAAACTACACAAACTGAGAATGATGTAAACCAAATCCTATTTTTTACTGAAATAGAGCATGAAGAGACCACTACATTTACATAAAAGGACAGCATATGGTAATACCATTATTAGTAGGTTCTCCATTTTCATCATTGGTTTTAGAGTACTGAACAAGATGATCATTTATGTTAATGTAAACAGCATCTTTGTCATACAAAAGATCTCCAATCCCAGACATAGGAGCATGGAGAAGCTTTTCTCTGTCACGCAGCCCCTTCTTCTTGGCAGCTGAAGGTAAAGGACAAGGATCAGGTAACACAGTCACCCCAGCTAAACTATAGTCACCAACTCCAGCAATATGAACCTGATAATCATAAGATGAGTCAGTATTTAAGGAAAATAAAAGAGAAATATCTGATAATGACATACCTTCATCCTTTTTTTCAAGTTACAACCACGTAGGTAACCATACAATGTAATATTCCTATCGCATTTCTTATCCATCTGAACTTTCTCTGGAGGGGTAACATCTTCTAGACGATCAGCCAACACATAAGGATGTGACGTTCTCCATTTCAATGGATGAAACTTGGTTAGAGATATAAAGCGGGAGAGGTTGCGAATTTCAAGTTTCGAATACCTGACAAATAAAAGATAATATAGATCATACAAATTGATGAAACTATCCAACGAAGGATATATACTTACTTCCCATGAATGAGACCAGATAGGTAATACAATTTAGCTCCATAATATATTTCGGTCCAGAAACGTTGCTTGAGACGTTTCTTTGTTTTCCTCAGCTTCTTTACATCATTGAATTTATCGAGGTGAGTGAGGACTCCCATAACTTGAGGAAACCCATGTACTTGCATAATATTGAGGAACTCAAAAGTTTCCTGCGGATCAAACAGATTAAAGCATAGTAAAATAAAGAAAAAATAATAGTCTAATGGTGTGGTTTCACTCACCATCTCAAAACCATAACTCCCGTCTATGAGAAGTAAAGCTAGATCAGCAACCTTGGCACAATCAACCATCCCATTTATATCATTAGGGCACTCCACAAATTGTATCCTTTGCTTCTTACCTAATTACATGACCAGCCAAAAACATGAGAAAAGAAATTAAACCTTAAAACTCACTATAAAATATAATAAACATAATTCTAAAAATCGGTCTAGACGGCGACTAAAAAATAAAACGAGTCGTTATAAAAAGATCGAATAGGCACTCTAATCAGAACTACCGCCTAGCGATTTCTTGAATATTGATTAAAAAAAGAGAAGCTAGTGAATAATGTAGCATAGAACCTTGTACAATGGTAATAGGACCTCGAACCTCAGGCACATTCTGGTGTGTGAAGTGCTTCACAAGGGACTTAATTACAAGAGACTTTCCGACCTAAATTAACCAAACACACATCAAAATTTCTACGAGAAAAAAAACATATCCAAAGAGTGTCTAAAAAGAACACAGAGTACCCCTGGTGGTCCTTGAACAACGACGACAAAAGGAGGAGGATCGTTGTAATTACGATCAATAGTAGGAAGATGAATTCGTTTCTGTTCCTTCTCTACAGCGTGAAGCTTCGAAGTCTTCGCATTAACAGATGACCTGACAGTAAACGCCTGAAGATTCAAGTAAAAAATCAGTTGTTGCTTGTTACTCAAGAAACTGTAAGAGGGGACTTACTCTAGGGTTTGGTTGCTTGTTATCTGAGACGACGCCACGCTTCTTTTTGTCGTTTTCGGCTTTCTTCTTCAGGGTAGGACCTGATTTGGGAGCTCTGTGCGACTTGTGAGACGGCATCGATTCCTTGGCGGCCATAGTGATGAATAGAATCGTAATCAGGTGAAGAGGAAAAGCCCTTTTTTTAACTAACCTCGAATTTGTATTTATAGCGCCATTAAGACAGTTAAGGAAAATTAAACCGGGAAAAGCCTCGAATTTTGTTACAGCCAATAGGATGGTTAATGAAATCAAACCGGGTTCCGGTTTAGTTTAGTATTCTGCATTAGTTCCGGTTCGATGCCTTCTCTAGGAGTCTTAGACAGTGCCGGCTCTTGGGGAATGTCCAAGGTGCATATACATAGGCTCCTTCAATTTTCTAAAATTTTCCCTTTAAGAATAAGACCCTAGTTTGTTAAATAACACATAGTTTAGGATCCTAAATTTGTAAATTTAAAGCGATAACTATAATTTTTGAAAAAAAAATATACGTGCACTGGACCATAACATAGTTAAGCCGAGCCTGATCCTAGGACTAGGACTGGGATTTTGAACCGACCAAACACGTCTGATCCGAACTGAATTTTTTGTCAGAATTCTAGTTCGATTCAGTAATTTTAAAACAAAAATGTTTGGTTTTTGGTTCGTAATTGGTTATTTTACTTTTTCTAAAAAATTTGGTAGAATCTTCTAACCCGAACTAACCGAATACCGAAGTCATTCACACAAACAAATAAGAAGAACATCTAAGTTGATAGAAGATATATTATCCGCAGTCATTAACATAAACAAATAAGAACATATATGGGCTTATCTCATACTAATTAACTAGTATACTTCTTATACTAATAGTCATCGTGAGCCGTAGTACATTTAGTGGGCCGACAAAAGCTCCTCGGGTAAATACAACTATAAATGACTTAAAATACCCTTTACAAGTTACAAGGTTGCCCAGTCACCGTCCGGTCTTATTTATTCTCCTTTGACCACAGGAAGGAACATTCTCCTTCACTTCTCCAGCCAGACAAACAGTTAAACCCTACACATAGTCTTAACCGCTTCTCGTTTGAATGTGTTACTTTCACATTTGTACTATATTCTTCAATTGGGCATCGCTGGATTCAGATTCTTCTCATCACTTCCTATCGTGAGTTCCACAAGCCTCCTCCTTTCTTATATATAATATGGTTCCTTCTCTGCCAATGCCATTAGCTAATATTGCATGGTCAATTTTGTGAATTTTCAAATTGGGTTTAAAGAGAGGTGAAACATTGTTCTATGATCACATAAGTGTTTAGAATTTAGGGTTCTCTGTTCCTCGAACAATCAAAGTTCCTGACTCTATACTTCTTATGATCATACATTGACAGAAAGTGACTCAGACAGGAAGCTATTAGTCATTGATTATGGCAAACGACGAGCTTGTGAAGCCTGAGAACCCTCCCTTGTCATTCAGACAAGATCACTTCACTGGAATCCGACACAACTTTGAGCTGTTTCCTACTCATGACTACAACTCCGCATTCGAACAGCTACTCGACATCAATCTCCAGATAGGTGTTCCTTATGAGGAAAACGAGGTCTGGAACCAGTTCCAAGAACACAAAGCCATGGCTCTTCATCCCAACGATGAAACCGAGGAAGAAGCGGTAGGTTTAGAAGGAAACCAACATCTTAACTTTCTCTCTTTTCCTGATAACGATGACTCTGTAACTGAACCCACTGGAGTTAGCCAGAAGCAAGAGTCTCTAGAGATTGATGACAACTTAGACTTGTCCATGCGTCCCACCTCTCAGTCCTGGTCTATGTCCGGTGAACACAGAATGTCCGTTGGTAAAGAGTTTTCTGATGCTAAGGCATGTAGAAAAGCTCTGAGAGACGCAGCGATCTCTCACCGTTTTGAGATACAAACAATTAAATCAGACAAGACACGCTTCACTGCAAAGTGCATGTCCCAAGGTTGTCCTTGGAGGATTCACTGCGCCAAGGTTCCTAAAGCTTCAACTTTCACAGTAAGGACTGTTCATGACACTCACACTTGTGGTGGAGTCTCACATCTTGGTCATCATCAAGCTACGGTTCAGTGGGTTGCTGAAGCCGTGGCGGAAAAGGTGAAAGAGAATCCGTTTTTCAAACCTAAGCAGATACTTGAGGAGATTCACAGAACTCATGGGATTGCGTTGTCTTACAAGCAAGCATGGAGAGGGAAAGAGCGGTTAATAGGGAAGAAACTCCGTGGCTCATTTGAAGAAGAGTATAGTCTTCTTCCTCAGTACTGTGATGAGATCATAAGAGCTAATCCAGGGAGTGTTGCTTTGGTTCATGCAAATCAAATAGATGATAGCTTTCAACAAGTGTTTGTCTCGTTCAAAGCATCGATCTCCGGGTTCTTAACTTCTTGCCGTCCTCTTATTGCACTTGACAAGGCTGTTCTAAAGAGTAAGTATCCAGGGACGTTGCTGCTTGCAAGTGGCTTTGACGGAGATGGTGGTGTGTTTCCGTTGGCCTACGCTATAGTTAACGAAGAGAATGATAGTAACTGGTATCAGTTTCTCACAGAGCTTCGTAAGGTTTTTGAAGTTAACTGTGAAAGTACCCCAAAGCTTACTATACTCTCCACCATGGAGAAACCTGTTCTTGATGGTGTAGAGTCTAACTTCCCAGGAGCGGTTCACGGCTTATGCGTTAATCATCTCTCGGGAAGGTTCCATAAAGAGTTCCACAGCTCAGCTCTTGTGAGCCTTCTCTGGGAAGCTGCACATGCTCCCACCGTCATTGCGTTCACATCATTAATCAACAGCATCCAACAGATATCTCCAGAGGCATTTTTATGGTTACAAAACATCTCTCCTTCTCTATGGGCGTCATCACACTTCAAAGGAACAAGGTTCGGACAGATAACAGCAAATGTGGTTACAAACTCACTCAAGAGCTGGATTGAAGATGTCTCTGGTCTTCCTATAATCCAAACGATGGAGTGTATCCACCGTCATTTGATGAATCTCTTCAATGAACGACGCGAGGCGAGCTTCCATTGGTCTGAGTCTGATGTGCTTGTTCCATCTGCAGAGAGTCGAGTCCTTGCAGCTATGGTGAAGTCTCGTGGTCACCGTGTTTACAGAGCGAATGAAGCTGAGTTTGAAGTCATGACTTATGAAGGTAACGTTGTTGTGGACATAGAAAACTGTTCTTGTTTGTGTCGCCGGTGGGAGGTTTACGGTTTGCCGTGTAGCCACGCTGTTGGAGCGCTCTTGTCTTGCGAAGATGATGTTTATAAGTACGCGGAGAGTTGTTTCACTGTGAAAAGTTACAGAAGAACTTATGGTGATACTATAGAGCCGGTTTCAGACAATGTTGAGTGGAGAGAAAAGGTTGTAAAGAGAGAAGGTGGTGGAGATGGGATAAGAACACCGAAGGTTTTAGGAGTTGCTCGACCGAGGAGGAGGAGAGTAAGACCAGAGGATGGTGATCGTGTGAAGCGTTTGGTTCATTGTAGCCGGTGTAAACAGACTGGTCATTTTAGGACAACTTGTATCGTTCCTATGTAACATCTTAGACTCTTAGTCTTCCTTTTGTTTAGTTTTTTTATTTAGGTTTTAGTAGCTTCTTCAGTCTGTTTTCGTTGTCAGCAAAGCCTTCAAGTTCTTGAATCTTGATCTTTGAGTTGATTGTTTTGTATCTGATAGTAACTCATTCTCCAAGGGATGACTGATCAAGATCTTCAGATGCTTCAGCCAACTTGTGTCTTTATATAATCTTAAGATCTGAGTGTCTATGCAAATCTTCTTTTTTTTTTATCTCTATGCTTCTTTTGTTAGCTTCATCTGTTTCTCCTGCTTGCTTCTCAAGTTTCTAGGACACTTGTGTCTCAGCTCGTTTTCGGTTCTAAGGTAAACGTGTTCTAGAAGTAAGCTCAGTTTATTTTCCATACAGTTTTGTATAAGATTTGAGATCTGCCTATAATTAGACTTAGTTGTTAAGACCAATGTATCTCCAGACTAATCGGTTCTCAGCTATTTTAGTAACATACGACTGATTTGGATGGTGGTGAGGAAACCATAACCATTAAACTCGCCGCAGTAAACGGAGAAAAACACAAAAGATCAAACTCAAGAACACAACAACAATGGCGACAACGACCAATCTTCTGAGTTTCATCAAAACACAATAAGTCATGCAGAGAGGTCTAATATTTACAGTTTGTTTATTTTCTTCTTGATTAGTCTGAAACTGAATGAGTTGTTTGTTATTGCAGAATATTATGGCAACAAAACGACCACGTACACGCAGGTACTGGTGATGTCATCGATCAGTTTGATGCTAGCAGCAGCAGTGCATTACCGTATCCGGAGGCTACGTGACACCAAAATCATCCCTCGTCTCAGAACATCTCAGAAACACAAAGACCATGAGAAACTCGAGAGATTCTCTCATTACGTGGCGAGACAAATGGGGTTTAAAGACAGAAAAGACTGTCCAAATCTGTGCAAGTTAGCAGCAGAGTACATCAGCAAATCAGAATGTTGTGAAGAAG